ATAATGAGCCACGACCAAGGACCAGAAGCCAGACCGCAGCTGCATCATTAGCCACTTTAAACCCCTCCAATCCATACATGAAGCAGACTGACACCCACCATGAAGAGCTCGCACGGCCACAAACACGAAGCCAAACAACAACAACGCAGCTCACCAGCTCAAATCCCCCTGCAACTCAGACTAAGCTGAGCACAACCAAGCCCCCACCCAAACAGAACACACCCCCAGCCAATCAGAGCACAACCAACCCCCCATCCAATCAGAGCACAGCCAAGCCCCTAACCAATCAGAACACACCTCCACCCAATCAGAACACAGCCAAGTTCCCACCCAATCAGCTCACACCCCCACTAGCAGTTAAAAGGAAGAGACAGCTGCGATCTCACATTGCTCCTGGAAGCACGAAGCCGAGAACACCAGCCTGAAGATGACGAATGAGACTTCGTCGAAACGTCGCCAAGACACTTCCAATTTTACGTGGGAGAAGACCCGAATAACCAAAGACCTACATATATATATATATATATATATATATATATATATATTTTTTCTCAGGTTTTCGCGGGTGTTTGTATGTAGGTCTTTGGTATATATAAAAATCTTTTTTTTGTTCACTGCCTACTTCTATTGCTTGGAAAAAGCAAGTGAACAAAAATTATGGTAATAATGAAGAAAAGCAACTTTAGGCAACAGAGTTGGTAGTGTGCCTCCTACCAGGGTGTAGACGTTGTCATTCTAGCTTCTAAGATGAGAGACAACTCAGTTGCTTGGTGCCTGATTCTACCAGCCAGTACACTTGGCCTTGTTTCATAGTTTACTTCTATTTAATTGTTGTCTCTGCTGAAGGAAGATTCTGTGATCCAGTTGAAGTTTATGCCTTAAGGAAGGAATGACAATTTTCATTTTTTTCTGCTCTAAGATTTCCACAGTAAAAGAACCCTTCATTGATCTTTCACTTCCTATAATAGAAGAAAGGGTAAGAAAGTTCTTATTCCATAAAGCCTTCATTTTAATTGTCAGAAGTCTTCTTTGTACCAATTGATATAAATAACTCAGCCAATTTAGGATGGAGAAAAGAAGAATATATTGTTACACATAGAAATTATAGCTGGTGTCATATATTGCTTTAAATCTGGTTTGGTTTTGGTTTAGACCAGGGGTGAAATGCTCCCGGTTCGGACCGGATCGCCCGATCCGGTAGCGATGGTGGCGGGTGGTTCGGAGAACCGGTAGCAAAAATCGCTGTGCGCCCCCTCCCCCCATGCCCAGCTGAGCCGCATGATCATCAGAGGCTTTTTTTTTTTACTTTTAAAAGCATTTTTTCTATGACCTCTTCTGATGAAAAAATGCTTTTAAAAGTAAAAAAAAAAGCCTCTGATAATCGCGCGGCTCAGCTAGGATCATCAGAGGCTTTTCAAATCATTTTTTTCAGCAACCTCTTGGCCGAAGAGGTGGTAAAAAAAAATGCTTTGAAAAGTCTCTGACGATCCCAGCTGAGTTGCCTGATCGGCAGAGAGGTATTTTTAAAAAAGCCTCTCTGACAATCCCAGTAAAATACCCTTCTGCCAATCAGACAACTCAGCTGGGATCGTCAGAGAGGCTTTTTAAAAAATACCTGTCTGCTGATCAGGCAACTCAGCTGGGATCGTCAGAGAGGTATTTTTTTAAAAGCCTCTCTGACAATCCCAGCTCAGTTGCCTGATCGGCAGAGGCTTTTCAAAGCATTAGAAAAAAATGCTTTGAAAAGTTAAAAAAAAAAAAAAAAGTTGGCTACGCCCACCCAGTCACATTACCCCCCCACCCCCCACCAAGCCATGCCCACAGAACCGGTAGTAACAAATTTTACATTTCACCCCTGGTTTAGACTACTGTGTAAATGCAGCTATTATGATTTTTAATTCATGGTATGTATGAAAGTCAATTCTAATTAAATAATGTCTTAGATGATTTGCTAGTAACCCATGTTGATTTTTCTAGACCTCAAAACCTGTTTGTTTTGGAAGGACAAGCAAAGGTAAACAAATACAAGAAGCAGATACTGATCGATTCAGCTGTTCTTCCATATCTGCTCTGACTAATCAGCAATCAAAATTATCTAGAAAGTGTTCATTAACAAAGGATAAGGTAAGAATAAGCCAGTGTGGATAATTGTACATGAATTCAGGTGTTCTTTTTAAAAACCCAGATTACATAATTTTAACTTGCAATTTTAGGTTGCAAGTGTTTGAATGTACTTTAATCACTTTTTTCAGAAATCTTAGTACTGCATTGATTAATTGAAAGATTTTAATATAAAAGAAATGATTGTGACTGAAATATATATAAGATTGTATATAAGTATGAAGAGGCTGAAGATATCTTAAAATGATAGATTTAAAATATAGTAAAGGTAAAGGTAAAGGTTCCCCTCACACATATGTGTTAGTCGTTCCCGACTCTAGGGGGCAGTGCTCATCTCCGTTTCAAAGCCAAAGAGCCAGGGCTGTCCAAAGACATTTCCGTGGTCATGTGGCCGGCATGACTAAACACCAAAGGCGCACGGAATGCTGTTACCTTCCCACCAAAGTCCCTATTTTTCTACTTGCATTTTTTTAATGTGCTTTCGAACTGCTAGAAGCTGGGACAAGTAACAGGAACTCATCCCATTACGTGGCACTAGGGATTTGAACTGCTGAACTGCCGACCTTTCGATCGACAAGCTCAGTATTTTAGCCACTGAGCCACTGCATCCCTCTTAAAATATAGTACTTGAAGGCAAACATTCACATTTGATTTGGAAACCTTGCTGAAAAATAATTTCTTAAATAATATCATTTAAAATCTTTTGAAAAGAACTTCGATAATTTCAGAAGCAATTTGTCTATTCATTACCAAATTTTAGTTTCCATGTTCAGGAACATTAGTTATAAATGGCATTATCAATTATGAACATAGGAGGTTGACAAGTTCTAATAAGATCAGGAGGCTTTATCAATTTAAAATAATTTATGTATGAATTTAAAATATTTACTCAAAGACTAAAACTAAATAGTTTTTTATATGTGTGTAAATGCCTTGTGTAAAATTCTGTCTTATAATTATGTAGATTTCCTTTCATTTGAATAGTTTTATTCAGGCTTCCCTTCAAACAAACATTTTACAGTTTTATAAATCACAGTAGGCGATAATATGGTTGATATTTGGTTTAACTTGATGAATAAATTTAAAAGATGGTAAAAAGTTTGTGCCAATGAATATGCTTGGTTTTTTTTGTAAAATAAAACTTCAGCTGGACATCATTGAATGAAAAGTACGAGAAAAGAAGGTCAATCACTCTTTTATTATGGTTAATGACCAGAATTCCACTTACCAGAAAATAGAAATTAAAACATGTGAAATATAAAAATAAATGAAAACAAAACAATAACTTAAATAATCATTATGATTAGTTACCACAGGTTTTACAAATAATAAAATAAAAATTGGCTGAAGAGACTGAATCATATTGCTAACAATTATATCTAGTGTAAATCTGAATGAGCCAGAAATTTAATTAATGTGCAATATAAAATAGAGCTATGCATTTTTATAAAGTGGGTAAGGTTTCAAGTTTTCCAAGAACAGAGAGCAAATGCCCAAGCTCTTCTTCCCAACCACTTGGTACCATCCTTAGTTAGAGCCTTGGTGGCGCAGCAGACTAATGTGCTGTTAACTAGAACCAGCTCCCTGCAATTAATGCAAGTTCAAATCTCACCAGGCTTATGGTTGACTCAGCCTTCCATCCTTTCGAGGTAGGCAAAATGAGGACCCGGATTGTGGGGGCAATAAGCTGACTTTGTATAAAAAAAGAACACCACTTAGGGGCGGCCAAAAGCCCTAATAAGCAGGTATGTACAAAAGTATGAAGGCTATTGCTTAACGCATTGTAAGCCGCCCTGAGTCTCCGGAGAAGGGTGGCATATAAATTGAACCAATAAATAAATAAATAAATAAATAAATAGACTACCAGGATGAACTCCAAAATCTAACCATATAGAAAGGCCAGTTTATACATATACATACATGTTTATGCATGTATAAAGAAAGGAATAGAATAGAATAGAATAGAATAGAATAGAATAGAATAGAATAGAATAGAATAGAACACAACAGAACAGAACACAACAGAATAGAATTCTTTATTGGCCAAGTGTAATTGGATACACAAGGAATTGGTCTTGGTGCATATGCTCTCAGTACATAAAAGAAAAGATAAATTCGTCAAGAATCATAGGGTACAACACTTAATGATAGTCATAGGGTACAAATAAGCAATCAAATCATACTAGGAAACAATCAATATAAATTGTATGGATACAAGCAACAAAGTTACAGTCATACAGTCATAAGTGGGAGGAGATGGGTGATAGGAACAATGAGAAGATTAATAGTAATGCAGACTTAGTGAATAGTTTGCAGTGCTTTTAAGATTGTGTTTGCAGTGCTTCTATGGGATTTGAATAATGTGGTTTTTTTTTTTTTTTTCCTATAACACTTTGATGATGACATGGCAACTGTCAGAACCAGGTAAACCATGAAAGACGACTTGCCAACAAATCTGGTGAAGAAGAAACAAGCCCTTTTATTCTGCCCGGAAAAATCAGAAACTCTAAAATAGAAGACAGAGCCAATACTTCATGCGCAAGAGACAGCGGTGCCGTTTTGGACTCTCCAGGAAATGGAAGTCAGACTGAAGGCAGTGAGAAAGAAGTCAGCCGTTCTGAAAGTAGCATTGATGCTGATAGCGAGGCTTCTGAAAGTGAAAGCGCGTCTAAGCAAATGACAGCCAGTAAAACTTGTCCCTCACCTGATTTATGCACTGATGGACACAGACACTTACCTCCAAATACTAAAATGCAATATAGCAAATCCAGCAATAGCAGTACGGAGGCACTTACTAGTGCCTTGTCAAAATTTCACTTTGGAAGCACAGCCATTGAGAGCGAAGGGCCTCTCAACACTCTTTCGAGCCTGTCGAAGAACACTGCCTTTTCAACAGAGGTGCAAAACCCTCAAAATGCTTTCCAGACTCTTTCTCAGAGCTACGTAACAAGTTCTAAGGAATGTTCGGTTCAATCCTGCCTCTATCAGTTTACCTCCGTGGAGCTGCTAATGGGCAACAATAAGCTGCTTTGTGAAAACTGTACAGATCAGAAGCACAAACACCAGAAAAAAAGCAAATTCCACAGGTAGCCGGTAATAAAAATCTTTCTGATTCAAGGACAGGCTCATTCAAGGGTGGTATTTATGTGTTATGGAAAGCAGCGCCCTTCCCATATTCTATATTGTCTCCTTTAAAAGTGAATTGAGGGATCCATTTCAAAGGCCTTTTGTAAATTCACCAAGAGCAGGGGTCTGTTCTGCCCCAGCTACAGATCCCAAAGAATGTAGCACACACAAACTCCGAACAAAACTCAGTTTACTTCAAAACACAGTCTTTTGCAAATGCAGGCTGTTAATAAAAAACGTTCTTAACCTGCCAGAAATTCCACAGATAAGAGAGTTGGCAGAACGCCCAGAAGCCAGGGTTGCAGAGAAAATTCAAACTCAATGATCAGCGAACGAACGTACGAACACACATTGTTTCCTGCAGCTTTTTACAAGCTGTGTGCAAACTTAAATAGGCTAAGGGAGTAGCCAATTAGTCCCAAGCCTTACTCTCGAGGAGACCCCCTCCTGAGTAACCACTCCTGCCTTTTGGCAGCTCTGTGTGCTCCTGCATTGAGAAGAGGCTCCTCCACTTCATCCTCTTCACTTAAAGGAGCCTCTGGAGATTCTGAAGGCCCTGGCTGAATCCCTGCCTCTGGCACCACATCTTCAGCCTCCTCACTGTCCGACTCAAGTGCTGGCTGCACAGGCTGCTGACATCACACCAGCCTCCTTGTCGGGATCAGCAACAATCCGCGCAGGCCACTGGCAGGCCACAACAGGGTCTCCAACCTTGGCAATTTTAAGACTTGTGGACTTCAACTCCCAGAATTGGCAAAGTTGGCTGAGAGTTTGGGAGTTGATGTCCACAAGTCTTAAAGTTGCCAAGGTTGGAGACCCCTGACCTAGAGGTTAATTGTTCATTGATTCTTTGCAGGTTCATTGATTCTTTGCTCAGGTTCATTGCTGGCTTTGATGTCACTTTGAACCATGGGTGTCTGCTGAACCATCCAGTACCATCCTTTTTGAGACAGCTTTGTAGTTTATCTCCTGAAGAATAAGGGAATATTCTTGAATCTGTTGGAGCCAATTGGATCTCTTCTCAAGTTGGCTTTGAGGGCCCTGTACAAAAACAAACTAGTCTGCCAACAATCAGATTGTTGTTTCCTTCCTTCTTTCAGATAGAAGGAAAGAGGAAAGAGGCTGTTGCTTAAGGAGCTATAGTTTGGTCAGTTTTAATGACTGTTGGGTGATATCCAGTATTCCACACTCAGCTAAGCTGACGGGGAAATAGTGGTACTACACTTTCAAAGGTTTTTTTAAAAAAACAGAATGAATAACTTGATCATTCTGAGTCTGGGTTTAGCCATGGAGTTGCCCATTGGTTGGCCTGTATATATAGAACGACAAAGAAAGCCCTTATGAATGCTACTTGGCTCTTTCAGTGGCTTGTGATACTATTGACCAGGATATATTATTGGAACATCTGTTTCTATCTCTATCTCTATCATCTCTATCTCTCCATCTGTCTCTATCTCTTTGCTCTGCCTTATATTTTTTCATGTATTTTCAGATCATTTTCCTTATAAATGATGCATTTTTTTTATAGACAAGAAGACAGAAAGCGTCTATACAAATGCTAGGAAGCAGCTGCTGATTTCTTTGGTGCCTGCTGTTCTGATCCTCCATCTGAAAAGGTTTCATCAGGTAATTCACTGAAAAAGATGAGGGTTTTTCCTCCCTAAAAGTTAATCGACAGGTATTTTTATTAGAGCTACATTAAATATTTGTTTGGTTCATTTTCAGAAGTTGTCTAAGAGTGGTGGAAGATTTGCAAAAACAAAGTGGTCTTTGTTGCACATTGGCATTTTACTGTTTTCACTGAGCAGCTAATATACTAATTTTTTTTTAATCTGTAAAACGCCCTTTTCTTATTCTAAGTGTCTGTTGCTTATCTCAGCACATTTTGAGATTAAGGTACCAGGCTAGAAAGAGGGACACTGTGAGTTGTAGTCATATATGCAGTGTGTGTTTGTTTGTGTGTGTGTGATATACAGAGTTTGTTGTCTTTCCAGAACTTTTGCAAAGTAATACAATTTATCTATTAAAAGAAAAAAAAATAGCCAAGTTTTGTTTCAGCACTACTTGACTCCTAGCTTAATAACATGCTTCAAATATAGCATTCAGATTCAGGTTTTCCTCTTGATTCCAAAATATTCTATGTTTAATTTTTCCTGGACTGGAGTAATACAAGGTAATATGATATTTTAGGTTGTATATTGTAACTCTAAAAGATCATTTGTTATGTAAATTGTTCATAGTAGCTACTGATTTATTTATTTCAAAATGTAACATTTCAAATATTTACGCATTAAATTCAAATTCTACAAATACTTTCAATTTCTTTTAAAGGCTGGCATGAGCCTACGAAAAGTAAATCGACATGTAGATTTCCCACTTGTTTTGGATTTGGCTCCATTTTGTTCTGCCTTTTGCAAGGTAAGACATAATAAAAGCATAATGACAGGTTGCGTTTGAAGCATGAAATGTTTCAGTTGAAGATTGACAAGACTTTCTTCTTACAGATGTCAAACATTTTTAGTCATACATTTCAGTCAGATTCTTGTACAACAAAGATCATTCTGTTAAACCAAGCTTTAGCAATAGCTGAAAATACCTTTTGCTACCTGAAATTAGAATAAACTGACTGTTTTCTTTTAATAAAATTGCATTTATTTAACATGTGTCAAACAATTGTCCTAGTTTCTACAATAAAAGCTTGTACGCTCTTCTTGCTAGGTTAGACTTAGGACTAATTATTAACAATGCATTTAAAGGAGAAAGAAAATAAGGCAAATTAAAATATAAGGAAAACCATGTTAGGTAGCCAGTGCAACAGCACTACAAAACTCATATTGAAAGTATTACAAAGTCCATACTACGTGGCCCTCACTTCCTTCCTTTCTTTCCTAGAATGTGACTGATGGTGGGAAGGTCCTCTATGCGCTTTATGGAATAGTAGAGCATAATGGCTCCATGCGGGGAGGTCATTATGCAGCTTATGTAAAAATCCGATCATCGTCCAAAAAACATTTGGAGCACAACTCTAGCAATAAAAACGTTCAAGGTAGGTATCTAAACAAAACTCTGTGATCAAATTAAAAAAAACAACAACCTTTTGTGTTGTGTTTACAGATAGTCCTCAACTTAGGACCACAATTGAGATCAGAATTTCCATTGCTAAGCAAGGCAGTTTTTAAGTGACTGGCACCCAGTTTTATGACCCATTTTGCTCTAGTTAAGTAAATCGTTGCATTTGTTAAGTGAATCGTGTGGTCATTAAGCGAATCTGACTTCCTGCATTGACTTTGCATGTAAGAAGCCAGCTGGGAAAGTTAGAAATGGTGATCACATGACTTCAGGACATGGTAACCAACATAAATGCATGCTGGTTGCCAAGTGCCTGAATTTTGATTATGTGACCAGCATATGCTGCTACGGTCATAAGTGCAAGGACTGTGTCTACTTATTATTTTCAGTGCCATTTCAGTTGCTAAATGAATGGTTGTAAATCAAGGATTACCTGTATATACATGTATGTATGTATGTATGTATGTATGTATGTATGTATGTATGTAATCTTTATTATATTTTCATTTGCATAGTTTCCCTCCAAAAATATTGTTACAAATGCTAATAATTGCAGAAAACTGTTTCCTTTACATTGCATGGGTCATATCAGTTAATATGACTTTAATTTAGGCATGAGGTGGACATGAATTTAAGCAATCAGGTGTGGCTGATACTCTCAAGAGGCCCATATATTAGAAAAACATACTTTTTTATATAGTCTAGATTTGGTATACTATATTGTATCAGTTTTTCCTCAGCCCTGAAGCTATTGCCTCCTTGCTCAAGCAGAGAATGATAAGAAGAATATAAAAAGTATTCTTTATTATTATCTCATTATTACAAGAACCACTTTAGTCTTTTTCAAATACTGTTGCTTGTTCCACTCCACAATTTGGGTGTTATAAGTGGCTTCCTTGTTTCACAGAGTCTTTCTCAAGCAATGTTCACAACTTTCACTAAAGCTTCCAAAAGAACAGAGCTAAGATCCTAAAAACAAATTTGTAAATGTTTTAGAGCAAGGGTGTCAACCTCGCGGTGTCACGGTGGCGTCACGTGACTTATTGCATCTTTTCCCCCCTTCGCTAAACCGGGCGTGGCCAGTGCGTGATGCATTCGGCCTGCCATCTGCGAGTTTGATAGCCCTATTTTAACAGAAAGATACTTGCTTCTGAATCCTAATTGCTTGCTTAGCTTGATTGTATCTGTTGATTACAGCTAATGAACACTGGTTTTGTGTGTCTGTTTGCATTGCAGGTTTAAAAGAAACTCCAGGATCAGCTGTAGGACAGTGGGTTTATGTCAGTGACACCTATGTACAAGCAGTCCCAGAATCAAGAGTATTAAATTCACAAGCCTATTTGCTTTTCTATGAAAGAATTCTGTAGCCATGTTCAGTATGGAAAATGGAAGCAATTAGTGTTCTTTAACTTGCTTAAGTGCACAGAAAATTACAGTATATGTAAATATTGTGCCTTTATCTGTTCTTCTTCAATAGAGAATATACCCTGGTTTCAGACTCTGTAAATCATGGCTTGGATACAGAACAGCCTAATGCATGCATTGTCCCCTCCTCCCTCTTTTTTTTCATGCATACAAAAATACAGTAGAGTTGCTAATGTTTTTGTTCAGTTGCTGTTTTTAAGGAACCCATAGCTTCATATGCTTTTATGAAGAGTTGAGGGCACAGACTGCATCGAAATGGAAATTAATAAAAAAAATCATATGTGATTGCAAGGAGGTCGGTATATCTGTGCGTTTCTGAATCCAAGCAGACATTGATTTTGAACTCCTAAGCTGTAATGTGAAATAATACATTCTGAAAAGGAAATAGTAATGTTTGAAAATGGGCTAGTTAAAATCATGTGCTTTTTCAAAAGTGAATTGCAGGAACAATCTTGATAGGACTGGCAACCTGATTTTTCCTCAGTGAAGAAAAAGCTGTTTATGGACACCAAAGCATGTTTTTGTAAAATATTTGGCACTCAATTATTCTTGAAAGGAATAAATTTAGATAAATTTAACATGTTCCACAAATGGAAACAAAATGGTTCATTCTACAAAACTAGGATACTATATTGTGTGTTCTAAGGGAATGTGGGAGTGCAAGCCTGATTTTACTCCGGGATGCTTTTCTTTATTTGAATATGCCTTGAAATCTGATGATATTACAGGTGAAAACTCTATCAGAAAGCAAGCTAAACAGACATTTTCCTTTGAGGTGCTGGCTTTCAAATTTAGTGAACCCCAAACCACCTCTGAATCCACCTTACTTGCACTGTGAAGCTGGAGCAAGCCATACCTTTTCAGAACAATTGGATATTCTCCATAGAAATTTATTGACAAATAAATGCATGTGTTTGAGAGAACATATTACTTTCTCTGAACATTGAAAAAACAATGTCATGCAGCACAAATCTCAGAAGCACAAGTTTGTGTACTGTACATAGGTTTTTACTATTTAATGCATGCTGTTGTGGCCCTGTTTTTATAATAATGTTAAATAGGAAATTAAACTAGGAACTCCAACAAGGAAAAGTTAATTTAACTTTACCTAATCACATTGTGGAAATGTATAAAGACAGGTAGTTGACTTATCTACTTAATACTTGAGAAGAAAAAGACCAAAAGAAAAAGTAAATAAAAAAAGCAACCTTCTCAATGACAGAAGTAATTTTTAAGGCTCAAGCACACATAATGTATGTACCAAACACTGTTTAGCTACACCGTTCAAGCCAGCCTGTTCCCTGGGGAAGAGGCTAATGATATAATGATATTTGGTTAAAACTCCTGATGTAATATATATTTCCTGGAGAAAATGTATGGGACACTGTATGCTATAAATGGTTATTTATGACCTGGTTAGGGTAACAGTAACAGAGTTGGAAGGGACCTTGGAGGTCAACTAGTCCAACCCCCTGCTCACGCAGGAGATCTGTACTAGGGGTTTGATTCGCCAAATTGCTGACCTTTCTGATCAACAAGCTCAGTGTTTTAGCCACTGAGCCACCTAGTCAGGCTAATTGTGTGTTGCCAGAAAAAAGTCAAAAATTGTGTGTTGCCAGAAAAAAGTCAGGATGATTGTGTGTTGCCAGAAACTATCATTTGACTGGGTTACAGAATGACTGGGTAAAAGTAGGTAGAAACAGGACTCCTGAATTAAATACTACATATCTTTAAAGAAAACTACATTTTCCTAAAATATTTTATATTTTGTGTTTTTCCTTATGTACATTAATAATATTTGAGTGGTTTTTCTATTAAAAATAGATATTAGGATGTCCAAATGTATGTGATTTAAGGTGACTTAAATAGAATTAGCTCTCAGGTCTTTGTTGTCAATATCAATACATTGTTTTATTTTTATATATTAAATAACTGTACAATTAGCTTCCCATTAAGTGTGGCTTTTAATGTGTAAAATATGCCTGTATGGTGTAGAATTTGGTTATTTATAAGTTTTGTAACTATGCCAGTTGATACAGACATAAGATTTGAATCCATATTGAAGAGGATTGATAACAGTCACCTGAGTCGTGGTGGCACAGTGGTTAGAATGCAGTACTGCAGGCTAACTCACTGCTCACTGCCAGGAGTTTGATCCTGACCGGCTCAAGATCAACTCAGCCTTCCATCCGTCCAAGGTCGGCAAAATGAGGACCCAGATTGTTGGGGGCAATATGCTTAGAGAGGGCTGTAAAGCAGTGTGAAGCGGTATATAAGTCTAAATGCTATGAATCATCCGCCAAAACCTACTTTGAGAGTAGAGGACTCTGTTGAACAGGAAGTATTATTTTACAAAGCGATGAAAAAAGTAAAAATTTAATAGCGGTAACTTCTGCTAGTGGGAGTATGGAATATGTCTCTACTTAGTTTGGGAAAGGAAGTGCTTTCAAATTCCTGTATATTTAATGCAATAGGCTTGTTGAATTTATGGCTGCTAAAATAGAAAAATCTGCATTTATCAGCTCTAGATCCAATGTTATGAATCAGAGATAAATATTATAGAATACTGTTTTATTTTGTGTTTGTTTTTAAGCAGTATGAGGGGGAGAAATGTTATGTGTTTCCCTGTTGAATTTCTCAATGTTCTTCAGTACCATTGACCATGTTCAGTGGTGGGATTCAGCCATTTCGGGCTGGTTCGGGCAAACCAGTAGTTAAATTGCTGGCTGGATCCGCCCTGCCCCTTCCAGGAGTCCTCATGCGTCCCATTTTGCCTCCCAGGTAAGTGCGGGGAGGCCTCCTAGGCCCAAAAGTGGCACGCCGGGTGGGGGGGGGGCGCTGCCCGTTTTTGTTCCAAAGAGGGTGCAGGAGACCGAGTGCTGCCTGTCACATCCCCTGGTCATGCCCACCATGGCCACACCCACCCAGCCAGTCATTAGGACAGAGAACCAGTTGTTAAATTATTTGGATCCCACCACTGACCGTGTTATACTAAACCTGCTGTAAGGATTGGGAATAGAGGGCATTGTTCCTCAGAGAATCTCCTTCCAGTCAGCGGTGGTTGGGGAAGAGATGGAGCCCTTGCCCATTTCATTATAGAATCTTCCAGAGCTTGTTCCCCTCCCCATTACTATTTAACAGCCATATGAAGTCATTGGGAGAGATCATCGTCAACATGGGATGAAATATCACCAATTTGCTGTATATTAGATACATGCCCCCCTTAGCTGGTTAGGCCGGGGCTTCCGGTAGGTAATATGTAGCTGGATTCAAGTAGAGGTAAATGTTTCCCTGTAGGTGGTGATTCTATTTGCCTTGAAAACGTCATTGCTGGATCCAGCTGTATGGACAATTTTAATCCAGTATCCAAACTTCTATTTTTAGAAAGGTTATTGAAAAAAAACATGGTAGACCTGCAGTTTCAAAAAATTCTGGAGATGCAGATTATCTGGACCTGTTGCAGTTAAGAGTTGTATTCATTAATTCTTTGTCATCTTGAAGCTAGAGCACTACAGTGCACTTCACAATGGAACTATCCTTAAAGTCCCTGTCGAAATTTCAGCTGGTGCAGAATGCAGCAACCCACATTGACACACATAGGTTTATTCACGTAACACAACTACCATCCAATAATATCTGGGAAAGGCTTACCAAGGGATCTGTCAGTGAAGGAAACCCTTCTAATGTAAACCTGTTTCGGGGCACAGTGCTACGAACTGGAATTGGGAAATTACATTTATCAATTCATTGTGGTGGTCAGATCATTTAGCTTAGGGTTCCGTTCAAGCACTCCTTGAGGAAGGTCCATTAGATTTGTCTGTCTCAGGCACCTGATAATCTCTACAGATTTAAAAGAAGCTTGGATTGGGTTCATCTGAAGCCTTTGTTGCTATCTGGAATGAAAGGGCAGCCAAGGACGTGAATAAAATTGTGCTTGTGTGACCTCTGTAGATCCCACAGAGTCACTGACAGAAAACAAGTGAATCAGATTTAACACAGGTAAGACTACCTCATGGTTATAGAACAAAATGTAATTTTTCTATTCTTATCGCATCTAGAGATAGACATCAGGGTAACCCAATCCCTCTTGAAGAGAATGGAGGAAGATCTACAGGGCTGCCATAAAAACTAATCTAGGTGTTTGTTGGATAAAACAACTCAGATTCATTCTGTACCAGCTGTGGAAATCTCTTGGGAGGTGACTGGCATAGCTATCTGGGATGAGTTTAAAACTGTTAGTCCCAAGAAAATGGAAGTTTGGGGGAAAGCAATTGGCTTGTAGTTACAGAGGGCTATGGATGAAGTGGATTATCTGAATAGCATTGATTGTACTTATAGAAGGCCTGTGGTAGGATTGGAATGAGGAGGTACAATCCATCCTGGCCTTCCTTGATTTCTTATCCGTCTTTGATACAATCAGTCACTATATACTTCTGGACTACTTCTCCTAGATTAGGAATGGGAGGCATTTCATTCTTTTGGGGCATTTCCAATTAGTGCTGGTAGATAAAGGAGAAATTGTGTCCCAAGTATCCATTCTGTGGGGTTTTTTCAGGCCTCTATACTTTCCAAGGCCTCTACATGTTCTCAACTACTATTGAATATCTACATGAAATCTCCAGGTGAAGTCATCCATCTTCATTGCCTAGTCAACCCCTGGCAGGATACCAAAGTACCATATATTAGATTAACCTTGAAAAACCATGCAGAAGCTGCAATTGATCTGAAATACACTAGTGAGTAGTTATGGAAGCACTTTGGTGCATCCCTGGAGCAGCACTTTACTAGTACCTTATAAGCTTCCTTTGAATGTAATTCAAAGTGCTGGTTACTGCTTAAAAAGCCTCTTGTAGTACAATGCCAAATTATTGCTGGACAACTCCTCTCCCAATTATTTCTGTTCGTCCTGGCAGAAGGGGCATGCTGTGGGTCCATTCCATGAAACAGTGTCACCCAGTGGCATCCAGGGGATGTGTATAGTCTAGTGAATCCATGGGCATCTAATACTTTATATCTCAAACAATTGGGGGGGGGGGCTACATTTATTGTTTCAGGAGTTCTGATATATGCAGGTACCTTTGTATGCATGACAATAAGATAGATGAATAGATTGATTTGTACCAGAGGTTATCATGTACACATAATTACATTAACCTCTGCCATTTCTAGCCTGCATACCCATTGGTGATTCTGTCTTTGTGTCTGTAAAACATCTCAAAAATTGATAAAATGATTGCCAGCTGAGGTAGCACCATCTTCTGGTTTGATCTTGGAAATATACATCATATTTTACTGAAAACATATTCTATGTCTTAATTGGGCTTTCAAAACAATAATATTGACAACTATGACTCAGTTTCTAAAACAGTAACATAGGAACACATTCATACTGAAATGTTTTGGTGCTCTTAGGTTCAAAAACACAAGCAGTTTATTAGATATCTGTATGTTGACAGGTAAAATCCCATAGATAAATGGGTTAGGTGAAGCAGGATGCTAAAAGGCTTTTAAATACGTTAACAAAAATGATGGCATTTCAACAGTAGTATTCTTGGATTATATTTGAAATAATGGTATATAGGCAGACAATAAATGTTACGTAATAGCAAAGACAAATGCAAGCTGAATTTACTTTGTATATGCATTAAAAACTATCACTATTTTTACACGTAATGTATAGAAAGTTTTAATAAACTGAGGCAAAATAAGAAAATGACTTTTAAATATATTCCATTTTGGATGCAAATAGAAAATAAACTTTATTTTTCAAGCTCAAATATCAGGTGTTTAGGAAAGTATGTTTACATTTATGTGATTGGGTAAAATAAAATACATACTTTGTGGAAATTCAGTGTTAAGTTATGGTTTATTATTGTTCAGACCAACTTCGTCTTATAGATGAAGTTAATGAAGGCATTTATGCTTAATATGACATTTATTTTCGCCAGTATGTACTGTATATTTAGTATACTGTAAATTGTTCAAAATCCTAAAAAGGAAGATTTACAAAACATTCGTGAAATGTCTGTTTTTTTTTACTAATAAGAAAGGGGGAAAAGTATTGCATTTCCTCATGTACCAGAATATTTTTAAATAATGAAACAATAAGAATCTAGTTTTCCCATAATCTTTTCTAGATGTATAACATCAGCTGTCTGCATCAGCTATGACATAGCTTCTTTTTATCAGATATCTTACAATTTTAACTATTTCGGTTATTGCTTCATCTGAAGCAACTTGCAGATTACTTCAGTCTGCTATTGCAGACTGATGAAATTTGCATCTCTACTGTATTCTGAGTCAAAGTCCCTCCTGTTTGTCTTCCACATATCATAATGAAGTTTATCCTGGAGATTAAGAAAACCTTGGAATGATATGGGTTTAAGTGCTATTTGAGAGATGGACATTCATGAGATCGGAGTTTTTGTGTTATCTCATTTGCCATTGTGCCTTCTCTAACCTCCTAAGACACAGCAATATTTTAACAATTGAGGATGTAGCCCAGAATCCATGAAAAATACATGGAAATTAAATTTTAAAACAAAATACCAAAATTCTCCCTGTACTCTGTAGAATTCCTAGTCCCACTTGTTGTTGTATCATTCCCCACACTTTTTTTTTTCATAATTGCCCCACCCATAAACATCCTTGGCCATCATATTAAATGTATCTCTTGGCCACAAAAAGTTGCCTTCATATACATTGCGGTTATCAGTATGCCTTTTCAACAAAGTTGTTATATTTTGCTGTCTGTATGTGATGCTAGCCCAATGTGCCCAACCAGAAATGTTCTTGATATCCTGTCAAGATGATCCAGCTCAACAGATCATCATATTCAGAAGTCTTTCCCCTGGCATCAGCCATAATATAATAAAGCTGGCATTTTTGGCACAGAATGCAACCACTTGTTCAGTGCAGGAATTCAGAGTAAGCCACCCCACCTCCAAGAATCTAGCACCTGCCCTCTAGATAATTATTTATGGATTTATTTAGTGTATGGCATCTACAGAGGTCATGCAATTACTGATGAAGTATGAAGTATAGACTACCTGCATGATGGTATATCCTGGCAATATTCTGTCTTGAAGTCTATACAGTCTAGAAGTCTATACGGTATAGTGTGTATACTATACAGTACATAGTATACAGTGATCAAACTGGATACAGTACAGAGGCAACAGACTCTGGATGGTTATAGCATATGTTTTTTTGGACTAATGTATTTCATTAAATACAAATATTGGACAGTTCTAAACCTTTAGAAAAGTTTACTTTAGAAAGTGGACACTAGCTTTTCTCCTTGCCTTAAAATGGGTGGGAGCTGTCCGAAACATGGTAATGTCAGCTCATGAGAAGCATTTGAGTTTGATAATTCTGTTGTTCACAAAATTATTCCATTGTCGTATCTTTACTCTTTTAAATGCTAAAGCATCCTAAAACGTTACTGCAAATAGACCAAAATGTCAGATAGAAAGATTATTTGGATGATAAGACTGTTGTTTCTCTATGTCATATATGTGGGTATATTTATTTGTCATGTTTATGTAGTGTATATTGGAGGTGGTGACCCTTCTGAGAGCTGTATGCAATGAAATTTCATTTTGATGTATACTGATTAGTGTACATTTAAAGAAGTAGTTCCCAACTTTTTTTTGGCCATGCCGCACCTAAGCATCTCTAAAATCCTGATGCCCCCCCCCCCACATATAAGTCTTACTATTCAAAAAGTGAACTCCTACTCAAGCCTAAAAGGCCATTAATTTGGTTTAAACAAGGTTTCAATTGCCCCCATTAAAAATAAAATGGTCCCACCTTGGGAACCACTGATTTAAAGTGACAATAAAGTTATTCTAAGTAAGTTTCAAGTATACAGCTCGTTTCTCAAGGAGAGAAAATGTATTAATTAAAGGTAAACTAAAATAGATGTATTTTTCACGCGATGCCCGTTTTTTTGGAAGTTAAGCCTCGCTGTGTCTTTAAAAAAAACCTCATCTAGTCTCTAATATTTACACAACTCTTAAGTGCTTAGAGCTACTAAAATTCGGACGATCAGAAGATGGCAACAAAAACCAGTCTCTTTGCTTGCTAAATAGCGGATGTGCAGATTTTTGCAGCCGTTATTTAACTCGTTTTAAAAGCGAGGAAAACCGTAGCCCAGGTCAAAATCAAACAAGCAACCGCAATTTCGACGGTGCTGACTGAAACGCTAAAGGAAGCGTTGCGCATGCGTCAATAAGCAGCTCCACGTCCTTAGTAAAAATGGCGCGCAGAGAACACTTTCACCCAGGCGCTTGCGCGATACTTTCACTTGTTGGCAAACAAAAAAAAAATAGTGACCATAAAACTGACAGTTGAAAAAGATTCCTCGGAGATTCTAATGCCATGGCTGAGTAAGTTTCCCAGACGTTTGTAGTATCACTCCCATCAGCTGCTGCCAACGTTAGAGGAGCAGTTGGAACCCTTCCCCTCCAGATGTCCCTCCGCCCTGACTTAAGATGGCGGATAGACTCAAAGGGCAGGCTTTTCTCCGCCGGGTTGCAGTGACGTAAACTTGCTGTTCCGGGTGAGTGACAGCGGGCGCCATTTTGTGTGGTTAACGCAAAGCTAACCGGAGAGACGGGGCAGCCGAAGCGCTGCGAGTGTTACCGGTCAGCGCAGAAGGCGCGGGCGGGGTGAGTAACTGCCTGCGTAGCGGCTGCGTTTGAGAACAGGCGGAAGCCGGCCGGAGAGTTGATTATCCTTCCACCACTATTTGGATTCGGCGCTGAATTCCGAACAGGCGGAGCTCGCTGCGGCGAGGCAAAGGGGGTGGGGAAGAAGATGCAAGGGTGGTGCTTTGGGTTCGGATTAAGAACCCGAGAGTGGGGGCGCTAGTCTACTTGGCTTCTCCGGGATGGCCGATCGTTTCCTAACAGGCGCATTCGCGGTAGTCGTAACCGGGCGGAGGGGGGGGGGGGGGGGGGGGGGGAGGGCGGGGAGAGGAGGGGAAAAAACCCGACCTCGTTGTACGCATGCGCCCTGATCTGAGGTTGGGCTCGTTACGAGCTTTATGTGCGCGTGCGTTGAGGCCCCCTAATCTCAACGGGATAAATAGCCTGGATTGACACTTGGGGCGACGTTTTAGTTCTGTTGCCATGGTTGCCACGTGAGAAGGCCAGGAGCCAGGCGCGCGCTCACATTGTGTTGTAAACATGCTGGGCCGACCTTGTGCGGGATAGCTGATAGCTAGGAGATGAGTGAAAGGTGTGCGTGTGTGTGTGTGTCTCACAATGGAAAAAAGAACTTGTACTTAATATATTCTGATGTGGTTAGTCTCACCCAATGGGTGTTTATTCAGAAGGCGGCTTTTTCCAGTTTTAATAGGATCCCCCTGTCCACAAATGATTAAAATAGTACCCGAAATCCAGGTTGACAACTATTGGAAGTAGTTTGCCCAACTTCATGGGACATTGATATGAAACACTAGAACTGCTCTGGGTCTGGATTTTGGTTTCAAAATGTAGAGTGGAACTTCGTCTGCCCCAGTTCAGGGAATCCAACCCATAAGGGCTGAAAAAAATGATAACCTCACTTCGGTTGTAGGAAAGGGAACAAAAGCAACTCTGATGAGAAGCGCAAGCTAAGTTGTAAATAACAATTCCTTTGCTTGTCTCTAGATTAGGTCCCCCTGTTTTTCCTTGTGGGCTGCAGGTGACTAACAGAGATTTGTCATTTTAGTGGAATAAATAACCCTGGTCAATTTACTTTCAGAAATGGTGGTGGTGGTGTAAACAAAAGCAGCATAATTAGATGTATTAGTGCAGATATCCATGTCATATTCCTAACTTTGTAATGTAATGCCATTTTCATATCACATTTCAGACTGTACATTTCTCAGAATATGTTCTTAAAATAGGAATACTCATCTGTGGCGGAGGGCACTATTTTTTAACTTTCAATTTCTAAACGAAATCAGAAATTACCATATTTGAACTCAAAATTTCTGTTGCCAAACAAGACATTTGTTAAGTGAATTTTGCCCCATTTTATGACCTTTCTTGCCACAGTTAAGTGAATCCCTGCAGTTGTTAAGTTAATAACACAGTTGTTAAGTGAATCTGGCTTCCCCATTGACTTTGCTTGTCAGAAGGTTGCAAAAGATGTGCACCTACCACGGGATGCTGCAACTGTCATAAATATGAACCAGTTGCCAAGCATTCAAATTTTGATCACATGACCATGGGGACGCTGCAACAGTTTCTAAGTGTGAAAAATGGTCATATCACTTTTTTCATAGCTGTTGTAACTTCGAATGGTCACTAAATGAACTGTTGTAATTCAAGGATTACCTATATTTGTTTTAGATTCATTGATGATTTTGCATGAATCTGTCATTATTTTTCAAGTTTTCTGATTGTACTATGTTAGGAAAATATGTATGTGGTGCTTAAGAAGTTTTTGAGCTTACAAACTTTATTTACCATACTTCAACTCAATGTTCAGTAAACTGAAGGTGTTTTATATTAAGTTGTTATTTTTTTGTAAAGAAACATTGTGATATGTTGAATCAGTGGCTAAGAGAAATATCATAAATGAAAATAGCATGAACTAAGGGATTCTTTCTTGCATGCTTATTATATACTCAATATTATTTTGTCAGTGGTTTACTCTCCCAAACTTGTTTCAATTTAGTTTCTGAACGTTTCATTATCAGACTAGGTAACATCATCAGCATGATTTTTTGTCCTATTCTTCTTAGCTTATAATGTCTTGTGTGCCAGTGTGATCAGTTGGACCAATAAAGAAAAGTAATTTCTTTATAGACAAAAAACAGCTAGAACTGGCTATATTTCATGGAATGTGTGTTCTTGCTTAAATGTTTGAAGATTTTCTCTTCATCTGAAGAATTTTGTACTTCAGCTACTTCAATTTTCCCAGCACTTTCTGCTGTTACTGATTTTCCCACTAACCTGCCCATTTCTGAACTTTCCTGAAGCATAAAATCTTGATTTAACATATTTTCTCGCATTATTTCAGGGAGGTGTGCAGGCCCAAATGTTGTCTATTGCATCCAAATTTGATCTTATCTTCCATAAAAATGGAAAGTGGAAGCAGGAAGTTACACATTTTAAAGTTGTAGGCATCTAGTAATGTGCATGTTGTGGCTATTAAGTTATAATCTTTTTTTTTTTTTGCATATTTTAGGTGAGTCCTAGGTTTGCTGCAAAAATACATAGAGAAAGTGCATGCCACCAATAGGGAGAGGACAAAATCATTAATACTGGCATTGTGACATTGCAACTATGTTTTGTCTTTTAGGAGTTGTAGGATTGTTCTTGATTCTTCTGGATGTTGAAACACTTTATATATCCACCAAAGCTTTATTCACAGATTTGAGCAAATTCTGGCATAAAGTAGTATTTTGATAATTAGACATGCTCAACAAATATGCCTTACAATCAAATAGAGTCTGAATTCCATGATAAAATTACTGTGGTGGAACCAAGAAAATTAGGCAATTTGAATATGATTTTAAAAGATAATGGGGAATATGTGAAATTATAAAATAAATATGTAAGAAAGTATGATTAGGATAACTTCGCAGATTTATGCCTGTTTGCTACAAAAGTCTGTATACCAAATAAAGCATTGCATTTCATGTAGTCTGAATGCAGTATTTAATGGTGCAAAGGGATTGAAAATTAAACTTTTACACTATGTATAATGTGATGTAGCATTGTTCAGAGTTGTGTAATCTTCATAGGAACCATTTGAAGAGAGGAGAAAATAATTTTCCAACAGCGGTTATCTAGTTTATAGTTATCAGATTTGTTTTTATGATTAGGCCACCGAGCTAAAATGGTGTGACTCAAAGAAAAGTATAGTTGACATTCTTAGCCCCAGTAAATAAGGGTTTTTTCTCATTTATTTCATTTACTCCTCCTGTTTTCGAAAGATTTTTGTATAAATGATGGCTGTTTAAAAAATATAGCAGAAAATCAAATTAAAATAATTGGAAACTAAAACTCATGGCTTTTAATTTCTGAAGGTCAACCCAGGATGGCAGATCTTATAGCACTTTACATTTAATAGATAATTTTTGCAATCAGAATGGTAAAATACTTACATTCAAATATTTTTGTTTGATGTTGCAAATTTCAGAGAAATCCTATATAGTTTCTGTGGAATGTTTTGATCACAAGAATATCATTTTAAAAATCCTTTGGAACAAGGTTCGGATAACTTTGAATGGGTAGTTTGGAAAAGGTTGGATGTCACTGTACACAGTTGAATGGCTTAAAGTGAAGCTTGTACTCAAATTTGAAATGTTATTTTTGCTCCAATAGAGAACATATAAATAATTAAAGATGTGGGATCAAGGTGGGCAGCCTTGGCAACAGTGGCCTTTGAATCAGCAACAATGGATGCAGTCATTTCAGCATCAGCAAGATCCAAGTAAGTAAATAGCTGTGATTGTGGTTTCAGCATTAAAGTTAAGATATTAATCCACATTTTATAAACTGGGTTAGAATGTTACTCTCTCATTCACATAGAAAAGATTGCTAGTGATGAGTTCACACAGACAAATATAACCTGTTAGATCAAAACCCAACAAACTATTCTTTAGTGTTTACAATCTTTTGAAAGTTGTTACAGGTTGCTTCTATATTGCTTGTAAGAACTCCTTCAGACTCTTAAGTGAATAGGAGAAAATGCTGGTAAGCAGCAATATGTGCTGAGCTAATGATTTATTCTCTATCCCAGTATGCCTTTATTGAAATTCTTAAACAACATCTTCTTCCAGTGAGCATTTTGCAACTCGCTAATATACAATGAAGGTGTTTTGAACTATTATAATATCTAAGTCAGCTATATATATGTAACAATACTGACAAATACAGAAAGACTATTTGAGACTCTAAATCTTTTGAATCTTATGCATATTGGAAGTTCTGGTGGTTCTCAAAAACCATATTTTCAAAATACATTGTATTGTAGACTTTCTAAACACTTTTCTCTTTCAAATTTGAGGTATTTTTCTTCATTTTATAGTGCAGCCCTCAAACAAATTTTAAATTGTTCAGTATTTTGCCCAAATGCATGCTTATCCTTCAACAGTAATATGTAAAATAATACAGGGAGAAGCTGGTTAAAAGAGTTTCTTGCTCTTTGATCCTTACCCCTTTAAGACAGGGTTGTTCAAAAAGTGAGGTGTACCTCCCTCAGGGAGGTGCAGACTGAACCCAGAGGAGGTTTTTAGTTACACTGTTGGAACAAATCCACCTTTCTCAAAGATTCATTTTTTGTTTTCATAGTTCATTATGTTCATTTTGGTGTTTGGATTTTTAGTGGAGGTGTGTATGTTAAGATTACATTAAGAGAGGTTTGATGGCGAAAAGAACATGAGCTCCTCCTTTAAGATGAGGTGGGCAACTTTCTTGTGCAGGAGCTTTACTAACTTGACTTCTGAGACTTGGAAAGAATATATTCAATAATGTTATGTCACATCACTGGAATTGGAGGTTCCTCTTTTTTGCCCTTTTATTTATTGGTGATAGGGTTAAGGGGCAAAAAGGTGCACCTCGAGAAGCTTAAGTCACCCATTTTGCTATTTAAAATCCCCATATTCATAAGAAATGTTGGGCCCATCCACTTGCAAGTGGTGGGATCTCTACTTTTTTCTTTATAATATGCTTTATTTTATCCAAACAAGCTACATGCATGCCTTTTCCTTTGTATGTTCATGATATTTTTCTGTTAGGTTGTTAATAGCTTTTTATTCTTTTATAAAACAAGAAAGTAGAAAAGAACAAATTGTCTATATATTCATCATATCCGGCAGATCTGGATGTTCTAACTTGAGGCCAGTGTTCCAGTTCTGTTAATTGTTACATTGTTGCAACAAACCAATACTCTGCCTGAATATTACAATTATTTCTTTCAGAAGTAGTGTTTTGTAGAAGAGTAAGAAGAAAAGGCACATCTATTTCAGTGATCTCTCTTGATCTCTCTCATTCATTCACTCTCATGGGATATCAGTTTATATCAATGTTTAGATAGGTGCTTAAATTTTTAAAACGCATTGAAACTGGCCCATGTTCAGGATTGAGTTGTAAAGCTTTGCATATTTTTTCAGTAATAAGTTCTTAATTCAGGAAAGCTCAAATTTCTCAGTAGGTCAGTGGAGAATTGCTGTATGGGGTGTGGTATCAATGTTTAGAGGCCTCCGAAATATAGTCATAAATGATGCAGATTTTTTAAATGGAGGATTGGAGTATGAATAAAATTCAATTCTTGATTGTGTTGTGGAAATCTATATATTGAAAATCTAATTCTGTTTCTAGGCCAAATTGACTGGGCTGCATTAGCTCAGGCATGGATTGCTCAGCGGGAAGCATCGGGGCAGCAGGGTGTGGTAGAACAGCAAGGAATGATGCCAAATGGCCAGGAGATGACAGGAATGGAACCTGGTCCAAACAACCATGGTAATTTTCAGAATGATCCAAATTTCAACAGGATGTGGCAGCCAGGTATGTTGTTGGTCCTCCCCCCCCCCCCTTCCTAGTTGTGGATACAATTCTTACATGAGCACTACTACAAATTAAATCTGATTTAGTTTGCAAAATTCTTATCAATACTGGCCAGAATTGAGTTAGGACAAAATTTCTGGTAAGGACAAGAAGCATTGATTCTTCCAAATAATTGTTGCTTATGGAGATATATGATATCTTATGGATTTCTCTGCCTCAGACTTCATATATTGATTCAGATTGTGATCAAAAAATAATCTGCAGATACTTTGAAAATCAAGCTTTGTAATGTGATTATACTTTAAATTATTAGAAAGGTTACATAAATTCAGAGTTGTTTAGACAGGCATAAACATTGAAAAGGGCTAACAATAAACTAACAGGACAGAGTTATTCCCATAGTTCCCCAACAATTTTATTCGGTTCAATGCTAGCTCCCCAAAGCATTTTAGAATAGTTTTTATTGAAACAGTTTCTGCTGCTTGAATAAAAAAACAAAAAACAAATTAACTTGCTGAGTGAAAGTAAAGAATATTCATTGGTTTTTGAATTTAACAGAAATTTATAGCAGAAATTACCATTGATAAAGGAATATATGTACTGTAAAAAGGTTGCAATAAGCAATTGAATCAATTTTTAAAAATACATTTTTAGACAATAGTATTTTAAAGAACAGTTCACCTTCAATTGAGGGGTAATATCAATTTATGTTGGATACAGATGTGAGGAAATTTTTCATTGGGTCAGCCATAGTTCTTGTTTCAGACAAGTTACACATTGTCATGTTTATCTTATACAAATACCTGCATGCCTTTTAACGAATTTGCAAAAACTGGGCTTGTTCTCTTTGGGCTGTTTGTGTGTGTATGTGTGTTGACATCTTGGCATTCAATATTATTCTTCCTGACTTTTTGCCATTTTGGGATTAATTGTACTAATTATAGAACCGGTTTTTCAAAGTGTTCACTAGAAGAAGACAAAATATTTATTTTAAATATTGTGATGTTGTTGCAGCTGGTCTTACTACTTTAAAATTTTAAATATGTCCATATTCTGTAACATAGATGAAAGAATTGTGGCTTCACAAATATAATTGAACTTCAATTTCTGATATCCATTATTTTACTATACTTGCTAGGACTCTTGTGAGTTGGACTTCAGAAACATGGAGTACCATACATAAAGTCATCAATTTCTGCTGTGTGAGATAACCAGTTTCTACAAAAATGACGTTCTTTTGGGCCTCTTTTTTCAACTAAAGTTGATCCCTAGAAAGTGCTCTCCAGATTCATTGAACTACTACTTTGTCAGCCATATCCAGAATTGCCATTGGTTATATGCACTGAGGATGCTGAAAGTGATAATTCACCATAGCTGGAGATGCTGACATAAATTATTATTCTCCAGAGGAATACTGTGTTAGTTTAGCCAACATAAACAAGAGTTTTGTGGCAACTTAAACACTAATATTATTATTATGTATTATTACATAGCTTTTGTAGTTCACATCCATTTTATTTGACATCAATATTTTCTTTGATGATGGAGATTATTCTTATCTCTATCCTTGGAAATTGCATTTCAGATCTGAAAGGCCAGATTGAGTTGGAAAAATTAGCTGATATAATATAGACTTTCCCTGTAATAGGTGTTGTGATTTGCTTAAATACTGTTCATACAAAGGACTACTAAACATAGTTTGGATTCATGCAAAAATGGAAACCAAAAATGTTTAATGATACACCCTTCATTATAAAAATCAATACAGCCTGATTAAACACTGATTAAAATTATTATTAACATTTTTTGTTATGACATCAAAACAGAATGGAACATACCCCACCAGCCGCCTCATCCGCCTCCAGAACAGCCATGGATTCCTCCAGCCCCTGGATCAATGGATATTGTTCCTCCATCTGAAGACAGTAACAGTCAGGACAGTGGGGAATTTGCCCCTGACAACAGGCATATATTTAATCAAAATAATCACAACTTTGGGGGACCACCACCTGATAACTTTGCAATGGGGCCAGTGAACCAGTTTGACTATCAGGTGAAACATTTGTTATTTTAATAATAAGCATGTGGAGTTCCGGCAGCATTGCTCTAAAGCAGATTTCAACAGAGTTTACTTGTTTATTAAAATAGATTTGTTACAAACATTTACCCAGCTCAATTAATTGTTCTACCAACTGTATTCTTTATCAGATTGGTTAGGATACTGTACATAAATTGAGCTACACTGGATTAGTGTGATGTGTTCTGTTTGGGATCACTTATGAAAGGTCTGAGAAAGTTCAGCTGCTGGCAAATGTAAATTTTATTTACATGATACTTTTATCTGCTTTTATAATTTTTACTTAGTTTTGTTTGGGAGGGGTCTTTTTTTGTTTTTGTTTTGCTTTTAAACTCCCCAGGTGATATTTATAAATCAAAAAGTATATGGGATAGCTGTGTTTATATAAAACAGATTCATGTTTTGTAAAGGAGAAAAATATTAACATCACATGGATGCGATTAATTACTTATTACTAAAACTAAGAAAATAAGCCTGAAAATATGTTGAGATTCTCCCTATTAATTCTCTGGATAAATAATAGTTTTGTAAATAAATTATGTATAAAGAATATAAAGATTAACATAAAGGTAAATATTGTATAGAATCACGATGCATACACCTTTAGCCACTCTGAAATTGGAGTTAAGTCAGAACTATAGAATACAATTTTATTTAGTTCATCTGTTTTGGGCTAGCTAGTTAAAAAACATGCTGGAGCACTTTTATATACCTAGGCATTCCCATTCATTTTGGTGAAAACAGAGAATTAGTCTCTAGATTGAAAGGAGGGTGGGGCACGAGAATTTCTGCACATTTGTTATCTGCATGTTTCTGGATGTTATATCTATGAATGGAGTCCTTGGTACGACTTAGACAGCATTAAGTGTATTGTTTCAGGAGCACAAGGTATAGCTACATTTTTCTCAGTTAATGGCTAGTGCTATACTAAAATTTGGTGTTACATTTCATAGATATTTACAAAGTAAATGAAGAGATTGTTCATAATAAGTTAACTTTTTATGTCCTTATATAGTTCATTAAAAGTTGCAAACTATAAATTTATTTGGTAGATTGGTCATCTGAAGTTTTGAATAAAGTGTATCCCATCCCATAGACCCACATTGATGTAGTAATGGAATTGAGATTGAAGACACAATTGATGAAGGCTATCTAACTGTCTAACTATCACTGTCTAACAATTACTGGTAGATATAATTTAGGGAAGGTAGAACAATGAAATGATTCACTAGCTTTCTGTAGCAGCTTTTCTTTTAACAGTAACAACATGCAACTGAAATTTATTATTTATTTAGTGTATGGCAAATATATAGACTTATAGCAGTTGAAATGTTAATAACCAGACCACCCAATGTGATGAATATTTTGTCGAGGAGCACCACAGTCACACACGGATCCTGTTCAGAGTTGACCAAAGCTGGCGAGAAAGGTCAAAACCTGGCATCTTTTGTGTAGGGTCATCTATGTAACTGCCTGTATCTGGGCATTCAGCAGTCCATTTGGCTTTCCACTGTGTGTTGATGTCAAAGTTGTTAGATAATTTTGTTGTACTCCTTCACCAAGGCTTCCTGCCTTCGTAGAGCTGGTGGTGCAATGGGGCTCAAGACGGGCAGGCAGCAGTAGATTTTAATCTGTTGCCATATAGAGAGAGAGCCAGGAGTTCTACAAAGATGTCTGGCTGCCAACTGTCGTTAACTGCCAATTCTTCAATGTAGTCTGGCTGCTAGTTGTTGCTAGACATTTGGTTCACACTTCTGTGCTATCCAGGGTGCACCACGAGGAGGCGAACTAGCATCACACCCCGCAACTGAAATGAATTCATTTCTTAAATCACATTTCCTGAAGAGCTGATAGCACTTAAAACATATAAAAGAAAATCCCAAAGCATTAGGAAAACATTAGATGGTTTTATTTCTGATAATGAGTAAATTTTATTTCCTGAAATCATGATAATGTTTTAAAAGAATGCATGTTCCCTCCTCACACATACTCTGAAAAATGATTATACTCAGATTTCAGTAATATGCAAATACTTTTAAAAAAGACAAAAATTGCTTGATTGTATAAATCCTTTAAAAACAGTATGGGCAGTTTTCTTATAATTATTTTTCATTAAAAGGAAAAAACCAATGTGCATGTACACCATGCTTTTAATGACCAGCATTGTAAATTGAGTATTTGACAACTGATGTTAAACTTACTTAAATAAAATATGTCAATTTTTGCTTAAGAAGTGAGAATTGATCATGAGAATTTGACCTAATAAATTAATTAGATTTGTTCACTTGCATATGCATGATAATTCATTTATATAATAGAAAAACCATACAGTATCATAAGCTAGTTAGAAGAACACGTGATTTAATTCCCTTTGCCTATCAAAATTACTTCAGAAAAATAAGAATGTTTGGTATATTCTGATGACCTATAAATAAATGCCAAGCCCCCAATAAAATAAAAAATAATGTATGTTCCTATAGATCTCTTGGGTCTCTATTTCCTCAATGGAAGATTCCAGCTCCATTGTTTTTAAAACTTTCTAATGTCATAATGTAATACAGCATGGGCTTCTCTTTTACAAAATTACTTTTTAAATGGTAAAAATCCCTTTTTTGGTTCATTAACCTTTGCGTTCTCCCTAAAGTACTCCGGACTCACTAGTGGAAACAAAAAATATTCTATACAGAGATCAAGTCCTTTTCTTTTCCTTTCCTTTCCTTTCCTTTCCTTTCCTTTCCTTTCCTTTCCTTTTCCTTTTCCTTTTCCTTTTCCTTTTCCTTTTCCTTTCCTCTTTTCTTTTCCTATCCTTTCCTCTTTTTTCTTTTCTTTTCTTTTCTTTTCTTTTCTTTTCTTTTCCATTTCACCTTTTTACTGAGAAACTGTTAGGGGAATCTGTAGCATTGAGTTAAAGAAAAATGAACTTCATTACTTTTTCAGCATGGGACCACTTTTGGTCCACCTCAAGGTGGGTTTCATCCACCTTACTGGCAGCCTGGACCGCCAGGGCCCCCAGGACCTCCAGCACCTCCTGCGCCTCCTCCAAATAGAAGGGAAAGGCCAGCATTTAGAGATCGCCAGCGATCACCGATCACATTGCCCGTGAAACAGGAACCCCCTCAAATTGGTATGTTGTCACCATATTTAGTTTAATGTATGTGATGCACACATTTTGAAAATACAAGTTGTTGGTTGCGGAGTTTCACGGCCCGTAACAGTTATGCATACTGTACTTAATTTCACTTATCTGTGCTTCATCTTAAATAGAACAACTTATGGACCTTCAGCTACAGCCTAACCAATGTTCTCCGATATGGCCCATGGAAAGAATTATAAAACTTATTAGAGACTGTTAACTTTTAAAAACCCTGATAGGGCTCAGAAAGTATGCATTTATTAAGTAATTTATTTTATGATGCTGTAGATGCTGTTAAACGTAGAACGCTACCTGCTTGGATTCGTGAGGGCTTAGAGAAGATGGAAAGGGAAAAACAGAAGAAGCTAGAAAAAGAGAGAATGGAACAGCAGCGTTCTCAACTGTCTAAAAAGGAAAAGAAGGAAATTACAGAACCAGGAGAAGAGGGTGGACCTCGGTTACCACAGAAAAGTAAATTTGTAAGTGAGAAAATTCCCGTACAGTATGTACAAGTTTGCATATTTAAAATGCTTCATTTTAATTTTTTTTTTTTTTAGAAAATAAAGTTGTATTTTACCAACTGTTGGTAGCACAGGCAGGAGTTTGTCCATACTTTTCCTAATTTGTCAGGCTTCTAAAGCAGATGGGTAATTTTAATTGCAAGGTCCTGTCCAAAATACTGGCTTTGTTCTGGCAAAATGATGGGACGTGTCAGGCAGTCTTGATCGGGCAAAATAGACCTTAACTTCGTCATTTCCTTTTGCATCGATATCTTTTTTGATTTTGTCAGTGTGAATAGTCAACATTTGAAATATGAAAGTTCCTTGTTGAAGAGCTACATTTCTTGTTGTTTTATAGGATAGTGATGAAGAAGAGGATTTTGATAACGTAGAGGCTGTAAGTAGTGGAAAAGTCACCAGAAGCCCATCTCCAACTGCTCATGAGGAGCAGAGTGAACCAGAAATGACAGAGGAAGAAAAGGATTATCAGATGGTACAATTCATTTTTGGATCATTGTATTTGCCATACATTTGACTGTTGATATAATAGGAGCCATAGTTAAGAAAAAACAATTTTGTATTAAATTCTAATTTTTTTAACTTAATTGATAAAATTTAATTATAAATTTGTAATTTGAAAGAAATATATTTAAACTTAACTTAGGAAAGTTTCTTTTGATTGTTAATCGTTATTGAAATAAATCAATTAAAGATTTCATCCTTAGATATTCAGAAAAGCTGCTATTCTTTAGTTAAGTTATTCTAATGGAGACATCAAGCAACCGTTGCTAAATTTAAATTTTATTGGTGTGCTGATACATCTGTTGCATCAAAATGTGTTAAACTGAGAACTGTTACAAGGACGGTTTACTGTGGAACATTTTTTACTTGGTGTTTTGCATAGGATGCCATATAACTAGTTGGCATAAATATGCTGTTTCTTTTACTGTTAGCAAATACCTTTGTTATTTTTTTTTCAAGAAGTGAGATGCCTTGAATTGGGGTAGTTGAAAATAGCATCTGAATCAATGTTTATCTTTAAATTTGTTTAGATGTTGCTGACAAAAATGTTGCTGACAGAAATTCTACTAGATGTCACCAATGAAGAAATTTTTTATGTGGCTAAAGATGTCCATCGTAAAGCAATAAAAGGTATGTTTAGGCTTCTAATAGGTTCATTAATTGTCCTTGTGCATGTCTTGTAATAGTTTAAAGTATATAAGCATATGTTCATATATAATATCTGTACCTAAAATAATTTAAATGTAAAGTTCCAAAAATTCATTTGTAATCATATATTGTTGTTCTGCATTAAATATTTTTTCAACTTAACTTTTTAAAAATTGTGTTGAGTTTTTAAATAGAATTTTCTAGTTGAAATTTAGATGAGCAAAAAAACTTCTATAAGTCAAACTTGTATAATTAAATGTTTTTGTGATCCTGCTATTCAGCTTTTTTTAAAAAAACAGTAATCTGATTTCATATAACTCTGAATAAATTAATTAATATACTGATTGCAGATAAAATGTATTACTCTGTTAATGCCTTACTCTAAAGAACTGCCTTTTTAATTGTATCCATTATTAATTTACAGTTTAAATTTCTAAACTATCATGGCCAGAAATTACTGGGCTTTCAATGGATGATACGTGTTTAATGTTTTTTCTCTCCTCCACAAAACAGCAATAGTAGTAGATTTAACAATACCATAGACTCTCATGACTATGAAAACGTGGCTATTTGTGTTAACATGTTGTTCCTGTTGTTGATGTGATACAAAGCTCCTGCAAAACAGCTGGCACAGTCCAGTGCATTGGCTTCCCTCACTGGACTTGGTAAGTATGTTCCTGATTTTTGAGAGGGACTTAATGGGGAGAGCTGTCGCTTGCATTCCTAAATATGTATTGAAACAAGAGTGAAACTATCCAATATGCATTAGGCAAGCATCAAGTAATTTAGGACTTATCTCACAAAAGTTATACTGAAATCTGAAAACTCCAGTACTCTTTCTGTGCAAGCCTTCCCTGAGGTTGGAGGTTGGGTGTTTTTGGCCAGATATCTAATATGGTATCTAAAATACAATGGACTTGAATTATTTGTATTATTTTTTTAAACTTTACTGTGTTAGTGTATGTTTAAATTTAAAAAACCCACAATAACACCTACTACTTTGTCTTGCCAAAAATCCCACACAACAAAATGCATATTTTGAATTCTCATAGCTAGTGCTTGATATTAGAACATGCTGGATATGAAATTCAGAATTGCATCCTATGTTGTAATAGATTGTGTAAAAACTTTGCATGTCAGTGTAATATTGATAATGCTGTCGTATTATTGTGACATTAAATAAATATATTATTTTGACCCCTATGATGAATTCTTTTGTTAGTTTAAATGTATTTGGAAAATAATTTTAAAATTAAGAACCTGGGAAAGAAAGTAAAGATGCTTCTGAACCAGATGCTCAAGATTACTTTCTACCAGTTTTTCAGATCTATCTTTTGGGGGAAGAGAAGTCCATTCCTATTGCATATCTGTACCTTTTTAATGTACAGTCTTTTCTGAACACTAGACAATTGATTGGCATTAGGACTTTTTAAAGCCCTGGATATTGAAGCTGACTGAAATCACTGTAACGATATCTTGAAGGACAGATCTTAGGCATTGCACTTCAGAGTCTATTTTCTTGCTGATGTATTCTAAGCATTTGGTACTGGCTCTGTAAAGAGCTTTTTCACTCATATTGAGCAGAAAGTATGTAATCTTAGCGATTGCTTGCTGGAAAACATGGCAAGCTATTCCGGATGAAGTAAAACCGATACTGAACAGCAGGTCAGATGTGTGGGCCTTGAACACTCCAGTCATCCAGCATTGGCACTTCCTCCAGAATAAGTGGCTTCTTCAGTGAAGAAGTGAAAGATGGGCAATATGCACTCCTCTTTGCCCTGCAGAAATATTAAGAACCAGGATTAATCTTTCCTCGTGATAGACTAGGCTTTATGCACGCAGGTGGACTGGGTGGTTATGGATCAGGAGACAGTGACGATGAGAGGAGTGACAGAGCCTCTGAGTCATCTGATACTGATGATGAGGAACTACGACACAGAATCAGGCAAAAACAAGAAGCATTTTGGAGGAAGGAGAGAGAACAGCAACTACTGCTAGAGAAACAGCTGGAAGGTATGTATATATGCATAGGGAGAGGAACTCTTATGCTTATATCATAATAATAATAATAACAATAATTTTATTTCTATACCGCCCTTCTCCCGAAGGACTCAGGGCGGTGTACAGCCTATTTAAAAACACAGACAAAACAACAATATAAAATTTAAAATAATTAAATAAAGTGGCTCAAATTTAAAACCCCAATAAATTTAAATACCCCAATTTAAAACTATTGTGTTGATAGTCCGGCCTGGCGGAACAACAGGATCTTCAATGCGCAGCGAAACACCCGGAGGTCGGAGATCTTACGAATTTCCGGGGGCAGTTCGTTCCACAGGGCTGGGGCTCCCACAGAGAAGGCCCTCCCCCTGGGCGTCGCCAGCCGACATAACTTGGCTGATGGCACCCTGAGGAGACCCTCTCTGTGGGAACGGACTGGTCGGTGGGAGGCTATTGGTGGCAGAAGACGGTCTCGGAGGTACCCGGGTCCTATGCCATGGAGCGCTTTAAAGGTGGTGACCAACACCTTGAATCGCACCCGGAAGACCACTGGGAGCCAGTGCAGCTCGCGCAGGAGGGGTGTCACATGGGCACAACGGGTTGCGCCCATAACCACCCGCGCGGCCGCATTCTGGATCAGTTGGAGCCTCCGAGTGCTCTTCAAGGGGAGCCCCATGTAGAGAGCATTACAATAGTCCAACCGGGAGGTGACAAGGGCATGAGTGACCGTGCGCAAGGCGTCCCGGTCCAGAAAGGGCTGCAACTGGCGAATCAGGCGAACCTGATAAAAGGCCCCCCTGGCCACGGCTGTCATGTGCCATATCAGGATATGTTAACCTCTTAATATGTTAACTCTGTGTAGCATTTCATGAGGCACTTAGGGCAGCAGCCTCTTTTGTGCACACATGCACAGATAAGGCCTTGAAATAGCCCTGCCATGCTATGTAATTGTTTTATACCTTAGCAATACAGATCCATAAGAGGCCTTTCACAACCACCTAATCAGATGATCTGCACAGGTCTAACTTATTATGTGATACTATATACCTAAGCAAAGCTATTGAACTTGTGATAAACTAATTGTAGGAAATCAGGTTATGGTTTCTTCTGTGTCTGTTGTATGTTCTCCTGAGAGTCATCCAGTGATTTTTGCTGCCATGGAACAATTGTGGAAGAATTACTATTCTAACACATTTTATCTTAACATTGTTACTGGCCAGAAGAATAGAAATAGTTACATATCTGTTCCACTTTATTTGTGTGATTTGGGATCTGTTTCTCCTTGGCACATATTTTACAGAAGAAAAGCTCCAAAATGAGAGAATTGCAAAAGAGATGAGTGAACTTGCCAGTAAAGAGCAAGGCAGCAATTCACCACTAGAAGATGTGAAAGAAGCTGAGGAGGAGGATGCATTTGGTGAAAAGAAAAAGTCTCCAAAAGAAACAACGCCAGACATCGAACCCAAAAAAGAGATTAAAGAAAAAGAGAGAGCAGGAAGGAGTAGGTCAAAAAGTTCAAGTAGTGCTAGTTCAAGTAATAATAGCAGAAGTAGCAGCAGTAGCAGCAGTAGCAGCACAGCTAGTAGTTCATCTTATAGTAGTAGTTCAGGTAGCAGTCGCAGCTCTACACATTCTTCCTCCCCCAAAAGAAAAAAAAGACGTAGTCACAGTAGGTCACCTAAAGTTAGGCGTAGCAGAAGTAGGAGCTATTCACATAGAAATAGAAGAGAAAGGAGCAGGAGCAGGGGTAAAGTAAGAGAAAGACAGAGATCTAGTAGACACAAGAGTATAGAAAGAAGGGAGAGGAGACGAAATCATAGTCCTTCCCATGACCGAAACTGGGAGAGACGTAGAAGTGATAGTCACTCAAGAGATAGACTTACTAGCCATTCTACTTGTAGTGGGAGTCGAGATAGGCATAAAAGTGAAGATCAGCACAGGAGCATAAGCGGGAACAGGCACAAACATAGTCATGATAGCAAAATTCAAGAAAGAAAAAAGGAACGTAGTAGGAGCATAGAGAAAGATAAAAAAAAAGAACAGGGAGAGGGACCGAGATCAGGAAAAGCGCAGGGAGAAACAGAAAAAAGAAGACAAAGACAGTAAAACTGGGAATCATGAAGAGAGATTAAAAAGAAAAAGAGATAGCGAAAGAACTTTCTCTCGCAGTGATTCCTTGTCTTCAAAAATGTTAAGGCGTGATTCTAGGCAGGAAAGCAAGAAAAGTTCTACCAAAGAGAGCAAAAAGCATTCAGGTTCAGAATCTAGCACAAGGAGCAGTTCTGAGTCACGAGGCAGCAGCAAAGAAAAGAAGCCGAAGAAATCAAAGCATAGTCGGTCACGGTCCATGGAGAAATCTCAAAGGTCTGGTAAGAAGGCAAGCCGCAAACACAAGTCTAAATCACGATCAAGGTAGTATTCTTTTAAGTATTTTGCTTGATTTATATATTTCTTTATATTTCAATTCTTCATCATGCTTGCCTGCAACATATATATATATATATGTATAAATATTTTGCAAATTAAACTAATTTCCATAGATTATCCTTCTGGTGGGATGGGGAGATACCTTTGATCGCTTTAAAAAAAAGAAATATAGTTATTAAGCCTAAAGTGTATGCTTTTTATGATTCTTTTCCCTTTAATTTTCCCCACTTTTTCTTTATTTTTCAGATCAATGACTCCTCGTCGTAAACGCTGAGGAATGATATGACACTAGTCATAATGATTTAAAAATTCCATGAGTTTTTAAGGGCTTGTCTCATTATAGAGGCTCATTATAGAGGCTACAGTTGTGGCTATGTAGATGGAAGCTGACCCCTTTTTTAACGAAAAGATCTGTAAATAGCTGTATTTTTTTGGAAACACTGCTCGGAGTTAAGTACTTGCTAGGAATTCTTTGTATTTACATTTTTCAAAACAGTAGTGCTTACCTAAGGCTATGAAATTTGTCATTCTCTTTCAGCTGTAATGTTCTAAATTGCTATTGAATGTATTGTGATGTCAATAAAGTTCTTTAGTTCATTTTTTTGTTTAAATTCTTCTATTTTTATTTATTTTAAATATTTATTTGCAAGGCATTTTTCCTTTGTAAAATGCTTAATAGTAGTTTAATTTCTGGGTTTCATCTTTGGATAAATCCGAGTCAATTCTCTGATAAAAGAGCTGTTTGGGAAAAACCCCAAAGGTTTTTGTTTTACTTTAATGGTATGCTTCATCATACTGTGTGTGAATGAAATGTGGATAATTACTGTAAGACATACCAAGACAGCCAAACAGAAATAGTAAGTTCAAGTAACTTAACTTACATGAAACAAGTTTATAGCTTTGCAACACTCTTCCTCCTATGATCGGAGAAGTTAATACTGCTTTTGACTCAGTCTCTCTCTGTAATTATAATTATAACCATAAAGGTCACTAAAATAACCTCGTGTTAAGAAGTTTAACTAGGTTCAATCTTACAACTTACCAACTAAGATGATGATTGCAAAATAAAAATGCTATTTATAACATCTTAGAAAATGCTAAAGTAAGCAGTTTTTTGCTTGGTGAAAATTCTAAAGAGATCTTGTTGAAAGTAGCCTTAAGCATCTTCCATCTTCCTATCAGAGATGGGAACTTTCATTTTGATTTCTCATTTATTTCAAAGTTAATGGCATATCTTAGTATTTAGCTCATAATTGTGCAGACTAAATTTATATGGTTCAGGGAAGGAGTTGATACAATCCTATTGAACATACCACATGAAAAAAATAGGAACTAAGATGTCAATATCATGCTATGTACTTTGAGCAACCTTTTTCATGTATCGTACCTTCCAGGTGCATAATACCAATAGTCCTTGCTTAATGACTGGTTGCTAAGCGATTGAAGTTACAGTGAAACTCCTGTTAGCTGCTTACAACCTGGTCCCGAAGTTAGAGCTGCTGCAGTGCCCCTCCAGTCATTTGCCTTTACAATCAATTGCAGGGACACTGCCAGGCTCCCCCCTATTTTATCCCCACCAAGTCCCGGCAGGACTTGGGTCTCTTCCCCACCCTCCCCATCAAGCACCGCATACTTTTGAAGATATCCAGAGTTTTCTGCAGCTCTCTGGGCAGCCATATGGCATGCTTTCAGATGTGACTACAATTGTTTGAGCAACCTTCTAGTTGCGTGTTTGAGTAGGTAGTTTCTTGATTGATGTATTGTTTACCACTTGACAAACAATAAACAACAGTAAACAATCAAGGAACCACAAAGAAGAAAACAACACTCCCACATTTGCAGAGCATGCCACTTACATATAAACCAAGAGCAACCCCTCTCCTTTCTAGCACTGATGATGTTATCTAGTTAGGAAATGAAACATCTGCAAGAAAACAACCAAGCTCAGAGCACCAACCACCACACCCCAAACCTCCAGGACAAGAAAAATGATATTTCTTCCTAAACAAATACAAACTTGAAGCACCCAGTGTATATTAATTGTAGGTGAATGTAATACACATTTTGCAGCATATTTACAGATAGCGTTTCCTCTATTTTATTTCTCCCACTTTTCTACTTAGAAAAAGAAAATAACACTCAAAAAGAAGAGTTCTGTAATAATGGAAAATTAAATGTTTGTTTCTGTATTTAACTTGCTCCAATAAAAGAACTACAATACTGTTTCAGTTTGTTCTTTTTAACCTATGCTTAACATTTTAAAAGAAACTAATGAGATTATTAGGTTATAAGAGAACGCAAGAGAAACAAACACTAAGTGTCAAGATATATTGACTCATAAAAGTAGAAAACTTTGAACTTCACTAACCTCTCCTTTGTTGTACAATATTGTTAAGAGAAAGGCATTTATTTACACATATTTTTGCATATATTTAATACTTTATTTACATATATTTTTATACAGTTGCAAGAAAAAGTATGTGAACCCCTTGGGATTACGTGGAGTTTTGCATGAATTGGTCATAAAATGTGCTCTGAACTTCATCTAAGTTACAACAATAGAAAAACACAGTGTGTTTAAAATAATACTACACAAACATGAGATGTTGCCATGGTTTAATTGAACATAACATGTAAACATTCACAATGCAGGGAAGAAAAAGTATGTGAGCCCCTAGCCTAATGACTTCTCCAAGAGCTAATTGGAGCAGGAGTGAGCCAACCTTGACTCCAATCAGTGTGATGATATTGGATGTGTTGCTGACAGCTGTCCTGCCCTTTAAAAACACACCTGTTGGGTTTACTGGTTTCAAGAAGCACTGTGATGTGAACCATGCCTTGCAGAAAAGAACTCTCAGAAGACCTACGATCAAGAATTGTTGACTTGCATGAAGCTGGAAAGGGTTACAAAAGTATCTCCAAAAGCCTTGATGTTCATGTGTCCATGGTAAGACAGACTATACAAATGGAGAAAGTTTAGCACTGTTGCTACTCTCCCTAGGCGTGGTCGTCCTGTAAAAATGACTGCAGGAGCACAGCCCAGAATGCTTCATGAGGTAAAGAAGAATCCTAAGAGTGTCAGCTAAAGACCTACAGAAATCTCTGGCACATGCTAACATTTTTGTTGACACATCTACAATAAGGAAAACATTAAACAAGAATGGAGTACATGGGAGGACACCACGGAGGAAGCCATTGCTGTCCCAAAAAAATATTACAGCACGTTTGACGTTTGCAAAAGAGCACCTGGATGTTCCACAGCACTACTGGCAAAATATACTGCAGACAGATGAAACCAAAATTGAGTTGTTTGGGAAGAACACACAACACTATGTGGAGAAAAAAAGACACAGCCCACCAACATCAAAACCTCAACCCCACTGTAAAACATGGCGGAGGGAGCATCATAGTTTGGGGCTGCTTTGCTTTCTCAGGGCCTGGACGGATTGTTGTCATTGATGGGAAAATGAATTCCAGAGTTTATCAAGACATTTTGCAGGAAAACGTACGACCATCTGTCCGCCAACTGAAGCTCCGCAGAGGATGGGTGATGCAACAGGACAATGACCCAAAGCATACAAGTAATTCAACAAAAAAATGGCTTCAACAGCACAGAATACGCCTTCTGGAATGGCCCAGTCAGAGTCCTGATCTCAACCTGATTGAAATGATGTGGCATGACCTTAAGAGAGCGATTCACACCAGACATCCCAAGAATATTGCTACACTGAAACAGTTTTGTGAAGAGGAGCGGTCCAAAATTACTCCAGATCGTTGTGCAGGTCTGATCTGCAACTACAGGAAACATTTGGTTGAGGTTATTGCTGCCAAAGGAGGGTCAACCAGTTATTAAGTCCAAAGGTTCACATACTTTTTCCTCCCTGCACTGTGAATGTTTACATGTTATGTTCAATTAAACCATGGCAACATCTAATGTTTGTGTAGTATTATTTTAAGCAGACTGTGTTTTTCTATTGTTGTGACTTAGATGAAGTTCAGAGCACATTTTATGACCAATTCATGCAAAACTCCACATAATCCCAAGGGGTTCACATACTTTTTCTTGCAACTGTATATCCAGTTTCCAAGACTCCGGTAGTTTACTATATATATATATATATAAAAAAATTCAATTCTATATCTTACAATCAATCCACATAACAGTAATTTATTTAAAAAATCTCCCTTTTTACGACCCTGTAATCTCTTAATTCAAGGTAGAATCAGGGTGACTGGATGGAGCAGAGCATTTACTGGCCGGATATCCTTCCTGATACCCTGCGAAGTTGGCAGCAGATATTTTTTGTTTGGCCCTACAGGATAAAAATCAGAGAAAGACAGTACATAATTTATTGCATTCCTTAATGCACTCTTGCCTGTCTCATCCACATATCTTCTGTTCCAGCATTGAAACGGCTTGCTAACTTTTTTTTTTTTAATTGTGCCCTTATATTTATTCCCTCTACCCCATCCTGAGGAAGGTTAAGCTGAGGGCAACTAGCCCAAAGTCACCAATGAAACTTCTGGAAGTGAAGTGGATCCAGAAGATGAGTGTCGCTATTTAAACAGCATACCATATTGGCTTGCTTTCTATGGAGATTCTCAATTGTCAAGATCATGATTGTCCCAAAGGTGCTTTTCAAAAAGCAGCTGAACTTGGTTTTTTTCAGTTCTGAAGAAGAACTGAAGAAGCTTCTTGGATGAGAAGTGAAATGTTTTCAAGAAAAAACTTCCAATTGCCATTTGGAAAAGCACATTTGGGACATGCTGGCTTTCACAAAGCCTCACAACGCCCTCAACCTTTGCACCAGTTTACCTCTGAGCCGGTCTAAGCTGAAGTATTTATCCACTGAGTAACAAAGCAATCTCCTCAGAATACTTAATTCGCCACGGAAGAGTCTCGGGAAGCTCAGCCACCTCCAGGTTGTCCTGGACTGGCTGTGGACTGCCCCCTCTCATTTGCCCAAGGGACTCTGCTTTAACTGCTGGAGAAGAAAGAGCCTCACTAAGCTACCTGGAGAGTCCACGACACCGTTCTTCCTATTGCTAACTGTGCAGCTACATCCCACCGGATAATCCCAGTCACCCTAGGTCTTCCTCCTCTCCACAAAGCACGACTCCTTTGCCCGCCATGCGTTGATTTAGAGCCATGGTGACCAAGTGGTTAGAATGTGGCTAGAATGCAGGAGACCAGGCTAATTCTGCTGATTGCCTGCATTTCAATTCTCACTAGCTCAAGGTTGATTCAGCCTTCCTTCCATCCTTCCGAGGTCAGTAAAGTGAGTACCGATTGTTGGAGGCAATACAGGTTAGTCCTCAATTTACAACGGTTCGTTTAGTGACCCTTCAAAGTTACAAGGGTAATGAAAAAAAGTGATTTATGACCATTTTTCAGTTATGACCTTTGTAGCATCTCCATGATCATGTGATCAAAATTCAGATGCTTGGCAATTGGTTCATGACGATTGTATTGTCCCAGCGTCATGTGATCCACCTTTTGCGACCTGACACGCAAAGTCAATGGGGAAGTGAGATTTACTTAACAACTGTTGATAAGTTACTAACTTATTGATTCACTTAACAGAGGCAAGAAAGGTCGTAAAATGGGGCACAACTCACTGAACAAATGTGTCACTTAACAGAAATTTTCGCCTCCATTGTGGTCGTAAATCGAGGACTACCTGCATGCTGACTAAACTGTTTAGAGGGGGCTGTAAAGCACCTGAAGCGGTATATAAATCTAAGTGCTTTTGTTATTTAGAAGCAAGCAAAAACATGGCTCTCCTTCCCCTTTTTTTTCCCTTGGAGATGTGGAGGAAACTCTGATAACGCATTGCCCTATAAAGGATCTTTCCTTCGCTTTACAGGATTGCTTTGTTTTCATTCCTTCATTGCTGCATTTATAAACCGCCTTTTCTGTCAAAAGTTCAAAGGCGGACTACGCGGGTGCCTCCTCTTCATTTTAATCTCGCAACAATTACAACAGGCTGCTTGGTCTTGAAAGACTCCAAACTCCCCGAGGACTGCAGTCCCGGTCCCCCGCCATCTCCCTTCTCTACAATTACACTGCACCGGCTCCCGCTTTTGGTCTTCGGTACCCAGAGCCGCTGCAGGCGGGCTCTAGCCCCTCCACCCACACCCCTTGCTAAAACTGAGCACGTTTGCTTGGCTTGAGGGAGAAGCTTTGCTACGCTTAGGCCTCTGGCGCCCAGCTCGAAGTCCGGTGGAGGATTTGGAGGTCAGAAGAAAAGCTTGCGAGGATCTTCGGTCTGCTCTGCCCTCCCTTCAACGACCGGCCGGGGCGCTTCCACTCTCCCACCGAAGCTATTTCGAGGAAGGTCAGGTCAAAAGCGTCGAAATATCTCCTCCCCGGAACTGGAGGCTGGAGCCGAGACGAGAAAGAGGCAGGCCTATTGGCGAACGGGAGCCCGGAGGTGGAGCCGCGCTTGGCAGAGCCAGCCCGCCGCTGCTCTAACTCCGGGTACCCGGGAAGCTGTCGTAGCTCATGGAGGGCTGGGCTAGGAGCTCCCTATGGGGGGCAAGGCGGCTGTGGGCTCCCCACGCCCACATGACGCGAAGCCGGGTGGTCTGTGGGCGCCCCTTGAATCTCTGGCCGTCATCGGGTGAGTCCAAGACCTTTTTCCTCGCCTCTTAATCTGAGTGGCCCCGGCCTCGGCTGCCTGCAACCGAGGGTAACTGCGTGGAGATTTGGGGTTGTTGGCCTTTTAAAATCTTCGAAGATTTTTTTTTCGGAGGAGGATGAGAAAAACCTCTTCCAACAGTCTTTGACAGCCTTTCCCGAGTTTACCGCCACCCTTGGGGGATTACGGGTGTTGATCTTCGGCCTGTCTTAAAAGCATCAAGTGGGAAGGCTATCCTATGGATTTAGGCGGTGATCTGTTTGCCTGTCTTTGGGTGCCGGGCTTAAAATTGAAAGAAATCATTCTCCTCCCTCCCCATTTTAACAAATAGAACATAGACTGCATCTGTTGCATTTCTGCCTAATTGGTCATTTTTGTCTGCTTCTGAGCCACTGTATTCCTAGGTGAAAGTTATGCAGATCCATTGGTATTTGCTTCTTACATAACATTCTTGTACTGGTTAGAAATAGGCATTTCACAATTAATTCTCACCTTGAATTTATAAGGACCGATAATGATAATACAGAATGTGGTATTTTGGGATGCCAGACTGGAATAAAATCTCCACAAATTTGAACAACTTTTTTTTTTAGTTGCAGCATAAAGGTAAAGGTAAAGGTTCCCCTCGCACATTTGTGCTAGTCGTTCCGACTCTAGTTTTCTAGTTGCAGCCATACACAGGCAAAAATAATGCAACTGTCATACAGAATTAAATTCTTACGGGCTGGTGATAATAACACAAAAAGAATAGAGACCGTTGTTCCATTTTCAAATAAGAAAAAGGTTCTTACTTATAAACATGATCAGCCGTCCAAATACTTCAGACGAGTATTTGGACTGACTGACCATGTTTATCATTACTAGCAGGTAAGAATTTAATCCAAGTGCTGCCTGACTTTTAGACCTCATATAATCCTGCGATTAACGTCTTCTCAAAGCTAAATCTTCAGAGCAGAGACCTGTTTATCCTGCTCAGTCAGTGGTAGAGATACTGTACATACCAGTAATAAATGAAATAGATTAAGAGAGATAAATATGTTTGGCTTTGGATATGCCTTTTTACATCATTAATCTGTACATCACTAGTTGATTAATTTTGTACATATACCTATCCACATACTTACATATGTATGTAATTTGTAAATAAATAAATAATTTTAATATTAGAAGTGAGGGTGAGTGAGGTGAAACTTGACCAAGAATACTAACCACTGTAGAAACAAACACATATTTGTGACATTAGGTGTAATGTCAGGTTTCTTGATAATTTTTGTTCAAAAATGCATTTAAAATGTAAAGTAAAAATAAAATTGGAATGCATATGAAGCAATGCCTTATGTATTAAGATAATCACTTCACAGTACACATACTGTATGTAAAACCTAAGATTTCCTGAATCCAGTATTCTATAAATGGAATTCCATTCACTCTCCTGTCCCCTCTCTATATATATATCCTGTAAACATCTCTTCAGATCTCAGGGATGAATGGGAAATTGGGGAAACGAGGAATCTGGTTTGCTATTAGATTTTAGTCAACCAATATTAATTATTGGAATTAGTCTGTGGTCACAAACAAATTTATTATGGCTTTAACAAATGTGCCCTTAAAAATATGTTTCTTATAATCACTCTTTGGAAAACCTGTAAGTTAAAAGTATTGCTTTTTATCAGGTAATCGCAGAAGTCAACTTCATCAGATATTTCAAGAATCCTTTTGTATTAAAATTCAGTTAAACTATGGTGCACTTGTAAATTTGACTAAAGTGAGAAACAAAATGTAAGTATAGTATTTTGGTTTACTGGTAATTATTCATAATTATTTTTATGGAAAATGTGCTTCATAATAAATTATCATTTGTAAGAACATTCTAATAAGAATGGCAATTCAAGTTGTTCTTTTTAAAATAGAGTTCATATGTAGGAAATTATAGTGCACTAAACTAATGCCTTCTGGATGCACTGGGACTTCCAATTTTGGTCACCATGATGTTAAAAAAGATGTTGGAACTCAAGAAAGAGTGCAGAGAAGAGCAACAAAGATGATTAAGGGACTGGAGGCTAAAACATATAATGAATGGTTGCAGGAATTGGGTATGTCTAGTTTAATGAAAAGAAGGACTAGAACTGACATGATAGCAGTGTTCCAATATCTAAGGGGATGACAAAAAGAAGAGGTCAACCTATTCTCCAAAGCAACTGAAGGCAGGACAGGAAGCAATGGATGGAAACTAATCAAGGGGAGAACCAACCTAGAACTAAGGAGAAATTTCCTGACAGTTAGAACAACCAGTGGAACAACTTGTCTTCAGAAGTTGTGGGTGCTCCATCACTGGAAGTTTTTAAGAAGAGATTGGACAACCATTTGTCTGAAATGGTATAAGGTTTCCTGCTTGAGCAGGGGATTGGACTAGAAAACCTCCAAGGTCCCTCCCAATTCTTGTTGTTCTGTTAACTTGAAATGTCACATCTTCCAACAAACCAAGCATCACACTAGATAAAGAGTATTACCTCCCCAGCATATGGACTGCCTATAGCATATGGATTCAAAGTTCCAACATCTGAAACTTGTTATAATTATGTATTATGTAATATATAGTTGTTATAATTTATGTATAACATAATATGTTATACATACTATGAGCAGGACTTTAAGAAGTGTTTTGCTGGGCCTAACCAAAGTACCATTAACCCAACAAAAGTTGGGCAGATGCTTTTTTGATGTTCAAAAACAGGACATGAAGGTCACCTGTTGTGCCCACTGATATTCAAACTCTCATTAATCATTTCTTGAATATGGAGATTCTATTACCTAACTTTAAGATTTAATTCTTGTTTATTTGCATCCTTTAAATTATTTAAGACAATGTATGTCACCACCTGTTGTAACACTACATTTATTAATTCATTATAAAGTGCCTGAAATATTGTCTTTTGTCAGTCAGTGGAACTGTAGTTCCAAAATGTTATTTGAAAGAGAAGCTTTTCTTTTGCTGTTTCCATTCTCATTCATATTTTTTATATATTAGTGTTGTGTTGTAAAATAAAAACCCCAAATGCCTCAGCATTTTCTCAGAAATCACTTCTATGCCTAGAATGAACATTGGTTCCTGCTGCAATCTAAATTTATCTACTTCGTCCACTTTTTGAATAGAATGAAAATTATAGTATTGAAATTATAGTATTGATAATATACCATGTTTCCCCGAAAATAAGACCATGTCTTTTGAACCCCGAAATAAGCGCTTGGCCTTATTTTCGGGGAAGTCTTATTATTTTGGGGCACGTGGAAAAAACCAGAGGAAATGGCGGGGACCGACTGCGCACATGTTTAAATATTTTTGGGGAGTGCTTATTTTCGGGGGTGGCTTATTTTAGTGCATGCGCTCAAAAGCCCGATTGGGTTTATTATCAGGGGATGTCTTATTTTTGGGGAAACGGTACCTGTATGGGTTTGACAAATCCATGTTTTCCACAAACAAAGTTACTTGCTGCTGCATTTTACAATCATTTTTGCTAATTGTGTTTGACCTGATGAACCTTTTGTTTAGAAAATTTACAGGTCAACCATACAGCACTTCGCAAACAGTAGATCCAGAAGAACTTAGAAAATTCCAACGGCTGGCACACAAATGGTGGAATGAGGATGGAGAATATGCAGCCTTGCATTCTATGAATGATATCAGAGTTCCTTTTATTAGGTAAATTTTTAAAATACATTGATATTTTCAAGCTCTTGCCAGAAATTTGATATTAGTAAGAATTATCAACTTTTGAAATTGAATCATAGCCTAATTACTACTATTTAGTTAAAGCTTGTGTCGATCCTTAAACTAAAGTATAATGGATATAAAAAGTCTACACACTCCTGTTAAAATGCCATTTTTTTGAGATATAAAAAAAATCAGACCAAAATACTGTAAATCACTTCAGAATTTTTTTTCCCACTTGTAATATAATGTAAGCTGTACAATTCAATTGAAAAACAAATTTGGAAAATTTTGTAGGGGAAAAAGTAAAAAAAAACACCTTACAATTACATGGTTGCATAAGTGTGCACAACCTTAAACTAATATTTTGTTGAAGTACCTTTTGATTTTAAGACAGCATTCAGTCTACCAGTATTGCACATCTTGCCTTAAGAATCTTTGCCCACTCTTCCTTGCAGTAGTGCTCCAAATCTGTCAGATTGTGAGGGCATCTCCTGTGCGCAGTCCTTTTTTCCGGCCACCCCATACATTTTCAATTGGATTCAAGTCCGGACTCTGGACCATTCCAAAAGTTTGATCATCTGGTGAAGCAGTTTGTTGTTTTGGAGCAGGGGTGGGTTCTACTTACCTTTACTACCGGTTTGCAATGGGGCCGCATGTGCGAGGGAAGCAAGTGCGCGCATGCTCTTCTGCTCATGCGCAGATGTCAGGGTCAGTGGGCAGAGCCTCCCGCCAGTTTTACTATCGTTTCTATAGAACCAATGCAACCGGGGGCAACCCACCACTGGTTTGGAGGTATGCTTTGAGTACTTGTGGTGTTGAAAGGTGAAATTCTTCCTCTTCAGCATTTTAGCAGCGGTCTGTAGGTATTGTGCTAAAATTGACTGATTGGAACTGTTCCTAATTCCCTCCACCTTGACTAAAGCCCCAGTTCCAGCTGAAGAAAAGCAGCCCTGAAGCATAATGCTGCCATCATCATACTTCACTGTGGATATGGTGTATTTTTTGGTAATGCAGAGTGTTCTTTTTGCATCAAACATACTTTTTGGAATTATGGCCAGGAAGTTCAACCTGATTTCATCAGACCGTAACACATTTTTCCACATGCTTTTCTCAGATTTGATGTAGGTTTTTGCAAAATGTAGCTGGGCTTGGATGTTTTTCTTTGTAAGAAAAGATTTCTGTCTTGCACCCTACCTCACAGCCCATACATACAAAGACTATGGGAGATTGTTGTCCCATATAGTACACAATCAATATTTGCCAGAAATTCCTGCAGCTCCTTTAATGTTGCTGTAGATCTTTTGGCAGCCTCTTAGATGAGTGTTCTTCTTTTCCATCAATTTTGGAAGGACACCCAGTTCTTGGTAATGTCATTGTGGTGCCATATTTTCTCCATTGGTTGATGACTATCTTCACTGTGTTCTATGATATATCCAATGCTTTGGAAAACTTTTTGTATTCTTCTCTGACTGATACCTTCCAACAATGAGATTGTATTGATGTTTTGTAAGATTACTTTAATTGATGGCAGGTATGTAGTGATTACTATTTAACATCAGTTTGAGTGTGATTGGTTAATTCTGAACACAGCCATATCCCTACTTATAAGATGGTCTGCACACATATGCAACCATGTTATTGTGTTTTTATTTTTCCCTGAAAAGATTTGTTTGTTTTTAAATGAATTGTACAGCTTACATGTTATATGAAATGTGGAAACAATGCTGAAATTATTTATCTTGGTCTATTTTTATTTTTTTATATCTCAAAAACCTGCCATTTTAGTAGGGATGTGTAGACTTTAATGTGGATAATTAATTTACCATTAATTATCCACTGTATAATTAATGTTAAATTAAACAAGTAGCACAGTTTTCTATATATATCAACCAAGAAGTCAGTCCCCGAATTTTACCATCACTGTTTGCAAGATGGTGACAATATTAATTAGAGAATATTGTAATCAGTTACAGTTATTTTTCTGAGTAAATGTTGCTTCTGGAGCTGTGTGGTGGTAAATATTGTAATAGTGTATATTGAAAACAAAGGTGTTGATAATAAATTGATTTATCTCTTTATGGCAATTTAAAAGAATAAAATGTTGCAGTTGTGGTAATATGCAAGAATCTTATTTTTTTTGTTTTTAATTAAATTATATTTGTTTTCTATTTTGTGTAAGAGATACTATGTTGAATCTGAAAAATGACCATGAGCTAGGAAGCCCACTCTTTAGCATGAAGATCCTAGATGTTGGCTGTGGTGGTGGACTACTTACTGAGGTAGCAATTGCACATTTGATGATGATGAATGTCCTTCTCTTCTGCCTTTAATTAATAAGAGGAAACACCAAGCTTTTAAATATTTTTTTTATTTCTTTAAAAACCCTGTTTAGCGTAAGTTAATTCTCCTTGAAACCACAAAGACATTTGCTTTTAGCATCATGGAAATTTCTGTCACATTTTATCCAGATTAGGTAGCTATCAAGGAACAGGCTACAAGTCTTATCTTGCCATTTAGCGCAGGAAACCTGATCCTTACCAGCCAGCAAAACACTTCATCAGGGGGTTGGATAGCTGGTTTCACCATTGCTGGTTACAGAGGGAACTCCACCATCTGCAGTAGGTTATTAAGATAGAAAGGAACTAAAGAGGGAGAGTATATAGCAAATGTAAGAGGATTTAATATGTCTGTGCTTGTGAAGATGTGCAGGCATTAGAATGACTCTATACAACATGTGTGATTCCTAACTCAGAAATTGTGCATCTCTTGACTATGATAGACTGTTTCCCAAACACTACAGCATGGAATGTTGGCTTTAAATCTTTCTGCTTTATTGAAATTTCCGCCACATTTGCCATTACTCCATTTGAATGATATTAAATTTCAGTTTGGGGCAGATGTCCCTTTTTTCTTCTAAACCTTTAAAAATGATATTAATATACTTAAATACTGTAATTTTAATTTAATTATAATTATGTGTCTCTTAATCGATTAAAAAATAAGAGGCAGAATTAGTCTAAGGCAAAGGAAACGTAACTGTTAACAGGTCTAAGAAACATTTTGGGGTCGTCGTCAACAGTTTAGAAGTACCCAACTTGAGGATAATCAATGAAATAGTTCCCTAACAAAATGTTAGGATTCATATTTTATTAGTGCAATATTTATTTTTAGAGGGCAAGGAAGCATAAGCATTAAGCTTAAGTAACTTTAGTTTTATTTGTCAGTGATATGGATACTTTTTCCATAGTTTAATACAGGATAAAATGACATATTTATGGTATTAGCCCCTAGCTAGACTGGGAGCTTCAGTTACTGGAATTGATCCTTTGGAAGACAACATCCGGACAGCAGAACTGCATAAATCATATGATCCAGTCCTTACCAAAAGGATTCAGTACAGAGCCTGTACACTGGAGGATATTGTGGAAGAGGGATCAGAAAAATTTGACATAGTTGTTGCCTCTGAAGTAGTAGAACATGTGGCTGACGTTGAAAAGTTCATCAAATGCTTTGGTGAAGTATTAAAAGTAAGTTTAAAAATGATAAAGTAGATCTCAGTGCTATATTTTTTTTACTATAAAGATCTTTTTTTTTTTTTGCATTTATGTTTCTTTTTATTTTAGTGGCTCATTGCTCTGAGGTAAAATTTGGCTCATAATATATTCTGACTATCTAGACTGAATGCAGTTAGGACTTTTCCCTTCATGGTATTCCCTTTCTATTCTGAAAATATTGATCTATTCTAGGTAATCTAAATAGTGGATACATATGAATTTTATTCTTTTATTTTATTTTGTACAGTACTCAATTTTTTCAGCTACATGATTTTTTTCCCCAGTAGAGTCCTTTTATCCATATGCAGATGTCATTGACTTAAACTTTTTGTATTAACTTTTTTTAACCAAATCTTGTAATTATATTATTTATATGTTTTATTTATTGGTAGTTGTATAAATAACCAAGTTGCAAATTACCCTTTGTTTTACATTAGCCCGAAGGTTCCCTCTTTATTACTACGCTGAACAAAACTCAGCTCTCCTATGTTTTTGGCATTATTGTTGCTGAGAAATTACTGGGCCTTGTTCCGGTAGGCACTCATGACTGGGAGAAATTCATATCACCTGAAGAGTTAGAGCGTCTTCTGGAATCAAGTAGGTATTACGTTTCAAGTAGGCAAGCAATTGCATGGCATCCTTTAAATATGACTATTTGTTGAGTTATCTGTAACAAAGATGTTGCGTAAAGAAAACACACTTCGGTCAGATGATTTTGAAAAATGAAAAGTCTATACTCTGGTAGTGCATCTTTGCTCAATCTGGTCTCTTCTAGCTCAGCCAATTCATTGTTAGCACTATTGGTTGAGAATTCAGGGAGTTGAAGTCATAGCACATCTGGAGAATTCCAAGTTGAAAGATAATGTAACAGCAATTTAATACCTTCCTGATAAGTTGATCTGCAACTTTTATCATTACTAATTCATAGGAGACTTAAATAAAGCTGGTTATTTTACAGAGGAGATTTAAAAAGTTCTTTTGGCATGAACCTGCTTTTCTAAGGCATATTTTAATCCAGAGTTAACATTCTCTGACTAAATATTTTGCAATTTTAACATCAGCTCCACTACTGCTACTACTACTATTACTGCTACTACTACTTTTTGCATATATTCCCCATTGTGTTCATGTTTGTGTTTTCATAATCCCTTCCTCTCGAATGTCTTCATTCTTCAGTGGGAGGAGAGGAGAATTAAAAAAGTCAGCATGCAAGAGATTGTTTTCAGAAATTGCTTCAGTCCCCCCCCCCCCCCGTACCTCCAGAGTGGCGAGATTGGAGAGGAAGGGATTACAAAAGAGTAAAAAGGCACACAATGAAGAATAGACTGGACTGTTTGCATAGTGTACTTGGGACTCCAGCACCAGCACATTGCTTTCAATATTAGTTTACTTTCTCTCTCGCCAATGCATATAAATACAAACATTAGTTCCCTTCCTGCTCTACCCTAATGCCAGGGTGAACATTCCGAAGGAGAGGGAGTGGATTTGGAAGCAGACAAAGCCAGACATGTAAAACTGATTAGTCTTGTCACTTTCAAGCTGGCTATCACGGCAGGCCCAGCCGAGCTTTCCAAAGGGTGGAGGAGTTGCGAAAAGGAAAGCACAGTCATGTTCACATGGTTTCCCACTTAGTGACCCCTTCACTTAACAGAGCTGCTGGTCCAATTGTAGTCACTAAATGAGGACTCCCTATAGTAATTTCACCATTTTGTCAGAATTATATTGCAGGAGCTTGGAGGCATTCAGTGTAAATGATAGCTTTTTTAAAAAATAAATTGTCCTCAATCTGTCCCCTTTCTTTTTCTTACCTGCAGATGGTTTTTCAGTTAAGGTGGTCAAAGGCATGTTATACAACCCCCTTTTTGGATCCTGGAGTTGGACTGGAAACACTAGCATTAACTATGCACTCCATGCAATTAAATCAAGCATGCAAGAAGAACTGGATCTGAAGGAAGCCTCCACAGAGCATCAACAAGCAGAAGCTAACATCAGAACTGCTAGCTAAGACAAAGTCCATAGTTGCTACAGAAGCACGGAAGAAGATGTGATAAATAGTTGTAATAAATCAGAAAGGGGCAAGCAACCTTGTTTTCAAAGTGTTGGTAAAAGGATTTGCTGCCATCTCAGCATACATGGTAGAGGAATTATAGTATCAGATATTTGTGGATAAACATTCTGTACAATTTGCTGGAAGTCTGAAATAATTGTCAGAATTATTGCTTTTATTGTAAAAGCATTTGTAAAATCATTACTCAAATTCAACAGGTGGCCTATTTTTAAATGTAAAATCATATACATCGCTAACTTGGTTTTTTTCCCCCCAGGGTTAACTTCGTCTGAGCATGATGTTACAGTGTTCTGACCTAGGCTTCCTGAGTCAGTAAAACACATGAGTAGTCCCATAACCCTCTTTTATTGCAACAGCTGTGAATTCTGTTTATTCACAGATGAGTCCCTAATAGTTGTAAAGAGTCCTTTGGGATAAGGCTGATAATCACCCACCTTTATTTCCCTTGACACGCTGCCAAAGACCTAATTGGCAAAGCCACACGGAGTCCAGAATCAAAAAGAGCTTCAGATTTTAAACTGAACAGAATTAATAACGTTGCTTCCTGCAAAGACCCACATGCCTTTGCTCCTCTTTTAAGACTTATGGGAGGGGCCAATCATCTCCAAGCCCTACTCTCTAGGCGTCCCTTTTGTTTTAACTGTTCTTGCCTTTTGGCAGCTCTGCGCATGCGCACACTGTTCCTCTGCCTCGCTGAGGTCCAACTCTGGAGGCTCCGGAGGCAGCACATACCTCCCAGATGGCCCTTTCTCTGCCTTCGACACAGAGCCCTCGTCCAAACCTTCCCCAGACTCCAGGACTGGCCCATGTTCCTCCCCACCCTCCAACTCTGCTGCCAGCTCTGCAGGCCGCTGGTGGACCACAACATACAGCTCTAAAGAGAGTGAGGCCAAATTCTATGTAAAGACCAATTTTTTTGAGCCTAGAATTCGTAACTGGAAGTTCCAAGTTACCCATTTATTCAGATACTATAGGGCACGGGTGTCAAGCTCATTGCGTCACGTTGCCATCATGTGATATATCGTGATGTTTTTTTCTTTTTCTGGAGCTGGAGTGGGCGTGGCCTGCATGTGACGCATCTAGCCCGTGGGCTGCCAGTTTGACACCCCTGCTATAGGGCCACCAAATCAAATTCAAAAATTCAGATGACCACTAGAGGGCAGAAAACATATGCAAAAAATTAACTCTCTGCTGCTGTCTAATGGCTATCTGGAATTTGAAGCCCAAATCTGGTAATGCTAATTGCCAAGCCTCACCTGCCCTTTGTATCCTCCCCCCTCAAAAGCTCTTTTAATTAAAAAAGAGTGACATTGAAATGCTGCAGAAAGCATCTTGTCCGTACCATCATCTTTATTTCTAAAAATGCAGTGGGAACCAAACAGGTTTCATGCACTTATTTAGTAATAAAAATAGCGGGCCGATGTAGACATCAAAAAAAAAAAAAAAAAAAAAGAACTGAAATAAATAGCAGTAGTATGGAATCTCCTTTATGTGTGGGGAGATAAATGGGTGGCCTGCTAATTTGGTGCTTTGTTGCTGAGTTCATATGTATGGATTTGTGGATAAATCTCACAGAAGTCAGTTGCAGAAGTGCCCATGACAGGTTGTTGAAGTTTAAAATGTATGTGCTGCCTGGAATGCTTTAGGGACAAATTGTCACTAGCTGGTACATTGAATGATACAATGGTTTTTAAAGAGGTTTTATGAAATAAATAAAATTTGAGTTCACATACCATGTAAGACAAAATACAAAGATAACATGGTTTAGTGTGATGTATGAGTCTGATACTGTTTCAGCTTTGGTTCATGACATTGATGCACATAAAGAGCCTAAATACATTCTTTGATGCAGAAAAGCAGAACAAGGGAATGGGATGCATTGTGTGAATTGTCTGTTGGGAATATAAATCCTTCATGTTTTATCAGACTTTCTTCCCTTCACAAAGATTTTCTAGGTTTTAGAAAGTAACCTTCACTTTTTCTATATCTGTTTCAATAGCTATCTGCTTTATGGTGGAAGGTAGTAATGGAGTGTTAAATGAGGAAATTTGGGGTGGTAGGAGGGGAGGAGATGATCATAACTGGTGGGAGATGATCATAGCTTGCTTCTTTGAATGCATGGTTACTTTATAGGTAAAAAGAAACTACGACACCAACAAATAGATCACTGATGGTCTAGTCAGATTTGCATAATTTAAAAATACTTTAGAAATGTTCAGTGGGTTTTGCCACTGTTTCATCTTCACATTATATCTTGGCTACAAAAATGCTCGGAATTATTTTGTTGGATGTTGATGTCACCTACTTTAAGAAACATGGGCTGCAAAATATGCTTCACAAGAGATAAAGCATATTTTATATTGAAAGGACAGTAATTACAGACCACTTCAAAAATGTTTTGAAATAAAAATAGCTAAGGTATAGTCTTAGAAGATCTAAGATCTGCATTGCACATATCATGTTTAAGAACAAGCCACAAACTTTTTAAGCATTAGCAAGCATAAATATTTTATATGAGGTTATGATAGAGCCATTGATGCCCAATAGTTAGAGTAATGGCCCTCTTTCCATATATAACAAGAAAAAGACAATGACAGTACACTTCAGTAGTTGTTTGCAAGGAGAAACTGTTTGCCAAGTTGAGTTTATTCAGTGAACTTCAAGTTACTATATTCTATTTCTTGAATGGAGACTTCTACAATGTCTTCTGCTTTGATCTGTTAAAGCAGCTAAGCTCCTGCATCAAAAGGATCACATTCCTTGCCAAAGGCTGTCTTCAACAATGATATCCAGAAACTGATTTTGGAGAAGGCTGATGAATATTCCTTTGACAGCAAAGGTGACTAAGAAACAAGTACAGGAGCGCATAACACCAGACATGTCACTGGAAGGCAAAATCACAAAACTGCATCTCACTTATTTTGGGGAAGAATTCACTGGAGAAAACGATTATGTTTGGAAAAGTTAGTGTAAAAGGAAACCAGGCCCCACCAAGAACATGGTGGCTGGACACCATCAAAGATGACACCAACCAGAGCATAGAACAACTCAAAGATGTAGTGCAAGATTGGAAAATGTGGAGAGACGTTAGAATTGCCAAGAGGTGGACACAACTGAATGGATATCATCATCATAATTTATATTTAAACAATAGCAGTCCAGGAGGTGACCTAATAAAGCTCTTCCCTAAATAGATTAGCATTTAGGATTTATGTATGTGAGGAAGAACTTCATACTGGCAGTTTGGCTATAAATTTCCCCTAGTTCTCAAGAGCAAGGAGCAATGGGGTCTCAGAGGAGTGTTGTACTATTCTCAACTTGAATTTTGGCTTGGAAGCAGTCCCTTCAAACTGAGTCTTAGGAATGGTTATAACTATTTAATCTGTTCCTGTTTGGGATAAACGAAGTGTTCCAAAGATATCTGAAAGCTGGTGATTTCCAAAGTAAAAACCAAAGTAAAATCAAAATAATGAAACCAAAGTGATGAAACCAAAGTAAAATACATCTTGGTAACCCAAAGAATTAAACCTTTTTACCTTACGAGTAAAAGATTGAGAGGAAATATCTTATTAAGATTTCACTAGAGAATATTAAATACTATATGTATTTGCTAGGTAAAGAAACTTCCTCCTCCACACCTTACTATTATTTTGTTTAGAGCACTTAAACTGACACAACGATGTGCTAGCAGAGACAGGCCCCTTATTAAGATATAGCTTATTGTAGAATCTTTACTTTGTATAGATTGTACTGAAATAATGAAGTTAGGACAGCTTTCTGTCATCTCAGTAACGGCTGGATAATATTAGAAAATCCTTGTAAGTCAGTGGTCCCCAACCTTTGCGGCTTGGTGGCCTGGCTGGGTGGGTGGGGGAAGAGGGGAACTGGGCAGTGTGAGTATGGCCCAATTCCAATAGGCCACAGCTTGGTAGTGGGCGTCAGCCCAGGAGTTAGGGACCCCTGCTTTAAGTCATAAGCTGGGATCCTGCTATAAACTCAAGAGAGACAAGAGGAGTAGAGCAAGTGGTGTTGGGTTTGCCTTTGGCAATCTTGCAGTTTAGCTACTCAATTATTTCATCCAAATTTGGCTGATTTTTGCAAGAAAAAGTCAATGTGTACATTCAGTTGTATGTAATATGGTTTTTCTGTGTGCAAAGACCCTGCAAACAATTACGGATGTGGATGAATACTTTCTGGAACTGATTCTTTTATGTACAAGAATATTTCTTAAGTAAAAATAGGGAAACATGGGAATTTGATTATAGAAAGGGCCAATTACCTTCATAAGAGAGAAATGGCTGCAACGAGTCCCACTAGGCTTGCAAAAGAAATGGAACTGGGGAACGGCTTCTATCATCCCCCTTACCAGGTTTCCTTGCTGTAAAGAGATTTATTTTCAAAATTACCTCTTGTAACTTCTACAGGCACAGTGACCTTGGATTCCCCAATTCCCCCACGACCTTGTGTTCGGCTAAAAAAGGCCTGCAGAATGGAAACTCCAATCTCTAAATGAGGAAAGCAGCGATTAAAACTTGAAAGCGAGAGAAACGGAGGGAGACGGGGGTCGCGTAAAATGCGGAAACACGTAGGTGCTAAGACACAAAGGTCGCTGTGTACGAAACGGAAGCGATTATATCTTTTTGCTCCGAAGATGCAGCTCACCGCTTGAAGGGGAGGCCACGTGACACAACCCTTGGCGGATGCCACCAAAGATGCAGGGCACAACAACAACAACAACAACAAAATGAACCAATAGAACAGAACTCCGCTTCCACCCGGAACGGTATATATATATATATATATATATATATATATATATATATACCTAATCTCCCAACTATCCTTAGGTCTGCCTCCTTTCCCGGTGCCGGGAGCCGCGCAGCTCCCCCCTTTAAATCGTGTCCTTCGCTTAACGAGTGACCTCCGCCTTCCTCTCTCCGCTAACCTCGCTGCTTTCGTGTTTAATTTCCCACGGACCGGAGTCGCCCGCGGGGTTTTTAGGCAGATTGGAAAGCCATGACATCACCTCCCTCCCTCCTTCCTCCGGGCGAAGACATGAAGACCGAGAGGTAGCGGCAAGGAAAAAGTACCGCCGCCGCTGCCGCTGCCGGTGATGTTGGTGCTGATGTTGCAGAGCTCGCCAAGGGCACTCGGCAGAGCCGCCGCCGCCGCCGCGCTCTCCCTTTTCTCTTCCTCCTCCTCCTCTTCCTCTTCCTCTATTGTCGAACTCCCGGCTTGCCCCTGCCGTCAGCACCTTGACGCCGCCCGGTTTCTCCCCCATGCAGACGGCCCTGGCGTCGATCCGTGGGCAAACGGGAGCTAGCAACGCCCGCGTCGCGCAGCATGCCCTGGGGGGTTGGCTTCGCCTCATCCAGGTCGTGCATGGTGGATCTAAGCAGGAATCAGAGCCTTTGGTGCGCGGGGTCCGACGATCACTTTTCCTTTTATGGGGAAATCCTTGCTTTCCCACTGCAGGATTACGGCGGGATCATGACAGGGCTGGGATCCGATTCGTGGTGGAAGAAAACCCTTTATTTGACTGGGGGGGGCCCTGCTCGCCGCTGCTGCCTATCTGTTCCACGAACTCCTGGCTATTAGGTGAGCGAGAGACCCGGGGTTTTGTTTTGGGAAGGAAGTCATAGATGCCGATAACACAGCAGGGGCCCGATCGTGTGGATTATGTTTTCATTACAGCAAGGTTTCCCATGATTTGGGCCGGGAAGGAGAGGGGAGGGCAGGGTTATTGGCCGACCCGGATAGGATACAGATCATGGGGTTTTAAGAATGCAGGCCTTAATTTAAGAGGAGGCTCTGTTCTGTTCTACTTTGGATGTCAGCATTTAAGCCCCTGGGCAGGGCCTCTGAACATAGGCAGAGTGGTTTTTTCTAGTGGTGGGCCAATGCATTCTGGGATTTAAATGGTAAACTGATTTGCAGACTGCCATAATCTCTTTTGAGCGACTACCCTCATAAAACTGGAATCACACATTTACTTAGATTAGAAGGGAGTTTTCTAATATAGCCTGCATATTTTAAAATGGAAGATCGATTGTAAAAAAAAAACAATATCATCATAAAACATTAGGAGCCAACATTCAATTATGCTCTAGTTTAGAGGACCAGTTTTGGTGATGTAGTTATGAGTACTTTGTTACACAAAATGAAGTCTTCCGGTCAACCTGCACTTCGGATGGACACATCCTTGCAGTTTTCTCTGACAATAATGAACATGTTTTTAATTCCCCAGTCTAGGCAACGCCTATTGCATTCCTCAATGTCTCCCATGCAACATAGAAATCAGGCCTAGGCCTGTTTAGCTGCCATATTGGATAGACATATAGAAACAGGCCCACTACAAGGTTTCCCACAATCTTCACTGAGTTAATGGAAACACCACAAGAACAGTTGTACAGAACTGTGGCAATGTGATTTATACAGACTTGCATACTAAGCAAGTAATATTTATGCTGAAATGTATTAAGTAAATACGAGATATGTGGTGATATTTAACAATAGCTGTTTCTATTTCCTTTAAAATAGAGTGAGCTGGGTGGTACCTGAATTTGATAAATGAATAAATAGAATGGGGAGAAAAGGTGGGGTGGTGATGGAAATAGAAGAAGATGAAAGACTTTTCAGCTGTTGTACATGGCTTTGCAAATTTTGGGATGATCAGCCTTTCCTTATTTTAAAGACCACCAAATATGCTGGACTACACACTCAATCATCAAAAGTCAGTACTGTACTGGGGAAGTCTGTTTTCTCTTTGTTTGTGTGAGAATTGCTAATCTTAATAGGAAACTCTTATTTCTATTGCCAACCTCCATTGTGACCTGCCTCTTTCTCCAAGGGTTTAGCATCCCTTGTGAAAAAAGGAAGAAATTCTGGACAACATTGAAACCTTTCTTCCTATATTGTGATAATTTTATGGGTGCCGATAAAAGTTTGTTGTGGTTTTTGTTACTCTCAACCCTGGATCAACAAGCATGAGTAATTGCAACTTTTAAAATACATCGCAAATGCTAAGACCAGGAGTTCAGCCACATAATTACTTTATATCCAGTATCAGTTCAGTTATTGCTCACACATCACAATGTTTTAAAGTTTAGATTTCTCTTCATAACCGTTTTCTCTTCATTAACCTTAACTTCATTAAGGTAGTTTTTTTCCCCATAAGCTGCAAATATTGGAGACAATACCTCATAAGAGAAAAAGATATTAACCTTTTTTTCAGACCAAGAGTCATTTTTTGGGTTTGAAGTGTTCCATGGCAAATAGATGCAGCCAGAGAAAAAGTAAATTTTGTTTCATTAAACTTGCATTTATTTGAGTGAAATTAATGATGACTTCCTATGTATTTAAATAATTTTGTCTTTCAGTCACATTAAAATTGACAGTTTTATGGAAACTTTTGGAGAGGCACTGAAAGACTATCCATCAAAGTATGCAACTAACAAAAGAAAACCCTGCCTGTTTTCTGTCACAATTCAGACTTTATTGTGGTCAGTGTTTTGCTGAAAGCAATACAGAAATTTAAAGCATACAACATAAAGTGAAGAAAAAATAGAAATAGTTGTATGATCAATATGATGAGGTCATGGCAACTTTTACAAACAGTAAAATAGAATTTGACCACATTCAGTGAAACAGCAGCATACTATCCGAATGACCTGGAAATGTAAAAAAGGAGTTCTAAAATATAGCTGTGCAACAAAATGTTTTCAGTATTTTGAAATTCTTTACCAGGGCACAGGCTTAATATGAATGATATTTCCCCTTAAGTTTCCCTTCAAGAACAAATTTCCATCAAATTATAATAAAAAATGCTAGTGTTAATGTCTTTCTGAATTTAGAGATAGTTATTTAAACATTTTGCAGGAACAACTATTGTACTCAAAAACACATCTCTAGAGAACAGATTTAATTGCCCTTCTGTGCCCATAACATGTAAAATGCTTGACACTGCTTACTTGTAGCCCAAATGGCACAGCTTTCCTTTGGGCACCACAACATCTCATGCATGCACAAAAGCGGTAGAATTGTGGCACAGTGTTGCTTTTGTCATTTTAATGGCACTAATTCAATCTCTTCAGAAGAAAGCACCTCTAAACTCAAGGCAGTATAGTACCAAATAAGTAGATATATCACTTGGGGATTTGTAGGGTGCTTCAAGAAAGTGGATACCTAGAATTACCAAAGTTCAGCTCGATAGTTTTAAAATCCTGATAAATCTGAGGATCAGTTTATTTGGAGCTGATTAGATATATTTGTTTTGTTTCATTTATATTGTACTTGTCCTACATTTTTCCCATCTTTCCCTCTTTCTCCCTCTTCAATTTTATTTTCACAATTACTCTGTGTGGTAGGATAGACTGATAAATAATGATGGCCCTAAAAGCAATTAAAGAGGCTTATATAACTGGGCAAGAATTCAAAGCTGAGTTTATCCAGATCTAGTCTATATTAGCATTGTTTCATGTAGTACCTTCTGAATAATATATTTATGGTTGTTTTGATGTTAAAAGTTGGCTAATCAGGTCTTGAACTCTCAACAATGATACATTACAAAGTAAGATTAGTGACTATCATAATTGCATAACTACTAAATTATCTTCCCAGTATAATAGGAAGTTGATATTAATTTAATCAATGAATGCCTAAATGTGAATTGCTTTATATTCTCTTGACCTGGTGCTAAATTATCTTAACACGGTATCAAAACTTTTACAAATTGCTAGTGGAGACATTGAAGCATAAATTTTTACATATTTGATTAATTATTTTACAATGACTAAATTTCAAACATAAGAAATTATATATAATTGTTTTAAAGGAGATAATTTTCTTTCTTACTTACTTGAGTAGTATATCTCTTCCATAACGGCTCATGGGATTTAGATTTTGTTATAGAAATCTCTTAAATGTGCTTCTTTAAGGCAACAATCTGAAACTTGTTAGATGTGTTGCATCATAAATCCAGAATTCTTTAAATATCTGAAGAAAATATGTTGGGAAAAATTAGTATAGGTGATTAACATACCTTTAACTGATCTGATTTATTACTGGTTGATTTTTAAATCCTAAATAAATGCGTAGATGATTATATATTTAGAGTAAGTCCCAATAAATTCAGGGGGCAGAGGTTGAACAGATATGCCTAGCATTACTTTGTAATAGCATAATCCTAATTATGAATAAATCCCATTTAATAGGCTCTTTTCTAAGGAGGTACACGTGTACTGCTAACTTGAATTAAATTACTTCTGGAGAATATATTTACTGCCTTGAACTCAAACTGATCTCTAAGACAACTTGTTGTGGTTGTTGTAAAGCTGGAAAGAACTCAAAATGAACGTAAGAGAATAAGGAATGTTCTGGTTAGGTCAGCCTTTGGAGGTAGAACAGACTTTACAAGAATATCTGGAGGTAGGCTATCATAACAGAATCTTGAAAGCTTGACTGTGAAAGTCAGTCTGACTAGGTGGCTCAGTGTCTAAACATGGAGCTTGTCGATCAGAAAGGTCGGTGGTTCGAATCGAATCCCTAGTACAGGTCTCCTGTGTGAGCAGGGGGTTGGACTAGATGACCTCCAAGGATTCTTCCAACTTTGTTACTATTAATGTGTTTTCCCTTCTTTCTTTTTTATACCTCAGGGAGTTAAGAAAGAATTGCTTTCTGAAGTTTTCTTTGCTTTCCAGGCTTAAAACATGTTTTTGTAACCGACAAAAGATCTTGGTGATTCTCCATAGATTAGTTGTGTGACTCTGGCTGCTGTACCCCAGGATATGAGATTGTTTGGTTTAGTTAAGGTGTTAGACTAGCACCAGAGAGATTTAAGCTCAAGTCCACCTTCAGTCCACTGGGTGATTGGGTGCTGCTGATGGCTCTTTCTCAACCCAACCTGTGTATCTCATAACGTTCTTGTGGGAAGAAAAGGGAGAGGGAAAGTTATGTATAACAATTTGAATTTTGGAAGCAAACTCAGTTTTTGAGTATAATTAAAATATCTCCATAAGGCATAGTAGTTTTATTATTGCTGCTAACTCTAGATAAGCCGGGGGAAGCGACAAAAAAGAATTCCATTAGTTATGTTGGGTGGGAATTCTGGGAATCCCATTATTTCAGAACAGCTCTATATGAGAGAAGGTTGCTATTTGAGAACCATGGCTTCAAATCTTAATTATTATGGGGTGGTACCTGATGCAGCAATCTACAGGTAAATTTATTGATTAATGGGAGGGAATGGTCCTGGAGACTGTTCCCGCAGATTAATTCTGCTAGGTAAAATGGCCATTATTTGGATAAGTCAGATAAAACAGATACCTGTTATATCTAAAAGCTTTGTCCATATATGCAAAATAAAGACAAATTTAGTACATATAATACTAAATGAGTGATCAGCTATTATGAATTATTGATGGAAATCCCATACCCTGAGTTATGCTTGGATATTATATTTTTTTCCATAGTCTTAGTCTTAGTCTAGAACTTAGTCTAGTTCTATTATTTTTTTTATAGTGCTCTAACTGAAGAAAGGAATGTGAATTTTTTAGAGTCTTGTTGGATTGGAGTGGCCTTTAAGCCCCAGTAAATAAATATAAATAGATAAATTTTAAATAGATAATTAGAACCAGCTAACTCAAAGTAGGGAAAACATGTCTTGATGCTATATTTTCAGCAAGCTTGTAGAATTAGTAAGCTAGATTGATCCTGAAATATGATTCATGTTGGTCTGAGTCATCATAAAAGCATATTCTTGTATTGACAACAATCAGTCAGTGTTTCAAAATATCATTAGCTACAGAGTGTGTTTGAGAGCAGGAAATATAGCCATAAAGCCACTGACATATTCACTTATAGTGTAGATACCAATACTGTAAGATCCCTCGTGAATCACCTATCCATCATAAGCAGCACAGATAATAACACAAAAGCCTCTTTGCTTCTTGTCGGTATCTGCCAACCAGAAGGAGAACCTGGTGGAGGGTTGTGTTCTCCGGATCCCAGTTCCTAAACACAGAGAGACTGTGTACTCAGCCTCAATTAATATTCTGTTGCAAAACAGAGCTCAGAAGCCTGCGGATCACAAGTTGTCCCAAGAATTCTCAAGGTTGTATTGTTGACATATGATGTCGTATTTCTTTCTTGTTATTAATAAATTAAGCCATAAGACAGATTCATTAAACCTCTATAGGGTTGTCAGACATGTCTTATTGAGCAAGCCCCTACTTATCCTTCTCCAAAATACAGAACTAAAAAATAATAAAAATCTAGCAGTAAATAAAAGGGCTTGACCAGCTGAAAGAAAGTTGGCCATGTTGTAGAAGATGGAGTCTTTAAAGCACTAAAATTGCCTCACCGAATCATGGGTGTTATGAGAGTTTCTCTCAGTGGCCTGCAAGAAGGAAATAGTTCCACAGGAGAATCTAGAACAGGGGTGTCAAACTTGATTTCATGGAGGGCCACATCAGGGTTGTGTTTGACCTCGGGGCGGGGGCAGGGGGATGTGGCCAGGGTGGGCATAGCCAGTTTGATGTCACTTGTATCAGGGGCACCTGTGGTGGCCACATGCTAAGGCAGGACTTCGCTCAGACCCTCCCTTCCTCTCATTATAACCTTCCTTCCTTCCTTCCTTCCTTCCTTCCTTCCTTCCTTCCTTCCTTCCTCTTGTTCTTTTTCCTTCCCTCTTCATTCTCCTTTCTGCTTCCTTCCCCTCTTTCCTTATTTTTCCTTCCTTGCTCTCTTCTCATCGCCTCATCTTCCCATCTTTCTTTTTGTCTTTCCTCTTTCCCTTCTTGGATGCTCCTTTGTTTTGTTTTGTTTTTAGTTTGTTTTGCTAGTCCTCTGCCAGAGAAAACGGAGCTGGGGGAGGGCATTTTTGCTGGCAGAGGGCTGCAGGAGGCCGCTGTAGCTGAAAATGGAGCCAGTGCGCAGCCCTCCCAAGCTCTATTTTCGCTGGCAGAGGCACCGCAGGCTGGTCCTTTGTTGTTTCCAGGGTGGCCCCTTAGATCAGATCTAAGCAGCCTTGCAGGCTGGATCCGGCTTGCGGGCCTTGAGTTTGACACTCCTGATCTAGAACAAGCCATTTTTGTTTTGGCTGCCTCAGAGAAAGTTGAAGAATCCATAGGTTGGACTGATAAAACTCCCTGAGTAAGAAGAGAGAAGGATGAATAGGAAAGGAGATTGCTTTTGTTTTTCCTTTCATTAGTCTTGTCCTCTTTGTGGCTTTTTTTAAAAAAAATTATATTTCAGCCTAAAAGCCAATGTCTGCTCTCAGTCTCTTGGTATTGATGTAATGTTTATTTTCTGGAACTGAAGCTAAATTTTGGTCCGGTCTCCTGGAAGTTGGTTGGAACATATCCACATCAAATTCTGAAACTGGGATAATGCATTATTAGCCGATTCTGCTGGAAGAAGATTTTTCCCTAAGTGCTGAGTGGAGGGAGGCAAAGGGACTCAAGAATTAAGTCACGTCATGACAAGGGTGTTGTGGCTAAAATGCAGAATCATGGATATGATGTTTGTAAATAATGCAACTGATTGTAATGACTAAGTGTTTATGTACAATGTCAAGTCATGATAAATTTTGCCTCTTTCTAGTTGGGCAGTGATTTAAAACGAAGACTAGGATTATTAAGCAATCTTACGGTTATTTTGCATTCTTTGGGCACAAACACAAAGGACCATCAAAAGTTGGTACTTGGCTGTTGAATTTCAGTATGGAAACTTGGAGGCTTTACATAGCCCTTACGCCATGGATTGTTCATACTTGTACTAAGTCAAAACAAAAGCAAACCACATTACAGGTAGTCCCTTGACTTACAGCCACTTGTTTGTTTGTTTATTTATTTATTTATTTATTTATTTATTTATTTATTTATTTATTTATTTATTTTTAAATTTATATACCGCCCTTCTCCCTGAGGACTCAGGGCGGTGTACAGCCAGAATTAAAAAACATGAAATACAAATATTAAAAACAATTAATATATATATAAATTTGGCCCAAAATTAAAAATACAAACCAATTAAAACATTTAAAATTTCTTCTTAAGCCAGCCCGGCTTGCTGGAAAAAGTGGGTTTTAAGGGCATGGCGGAAGGCACTAAGGTCTTGGATTCTCCTTATCTCTGGGGTCAACTGATTCCAGAGGGTAGGTGCCCCCACAGAGAAGGCCTTCCCCCTGGGAGTCACCAGCCTACATTGATTGGCTGATGGCACCGTGAGGAGGCCCTCTCTGTGGGAGCGCACGGGACGATGGGAGGTCGTCGGTAGCAGCAGGCGGTCTCGAAGATAGCTAGGCCCGATGCCATGGAGCGCTTTAAAGGTGATAACCAACACCTTGAAGCGCACCCGGAAGACCACTGGGAGCCAGTGCAGCTCGCGCAGGAGCGGTGTTACATGGGAGCGCCATGCTGCTCCCATCACCACCCGTGCTGCTGCATTCTGGACCAGTTGGAGCCTCCGGGTGCTCTTCAAGGGGAGCCCCATGTAGAGAGCGTTGCAGTAGTCAAGGCGAGAGGTTTAGTATGGTTTAGTAACCATTCAAAGTTACAATAGTGCTGAAGAAACTGACTTACAACCAATCCTCGCACTTATGGCCAACACAGCACTCCCATGGTCGTGTGATCAAAATTCAGACACTTAGCAACTGGCAATTTTACAACAGTTGCGGTGTCCCAGGATCACATGATCACCATTTGCCACCTGCCCAGCCAGCTTTGAAGAAGCAAAATCAGTTGGAGAAGCCAGATTTGCTTAACAACTGCATGATTTGCTTAACAATTGTGGCACAAAGGTCACACAATTGGGTTGACTCAATTGCCTTGGTTAGCAATGGAAATTCTGGTCCCAATTGCTGTCGTAGGTTAAGGACTTTTTGTATGTCATAGCATAGTGTGTGAATCCAACAAGAGAATCAAAGGAAGTACTGGCAGTATGGGAACAAAGGTCTATAATTCTCTTTGAAATGATCTTCTAGTTTATGAAGACATCTGTCTTGGTATCAGACCAAGTGAAACAATTGGATGAACAATGCACAGTATTCTAATGACTTCTTCAGGGTCATGTCTCTATTTATCAATAGTTCAACTAAAGTCTGCATGTTTTATCTGGAATTTGAGAGATATGCAACATAATAATTACACTGTGCTTTTGGTGTATATGTCTATTTTTAAAATTATGATTACTTGTTTTAGTTTTTTCTTTATTATGTAGTGACATGGGCTTTCTGAGGAAAGAACAGAATAGAAATAAAATGAATAGTACGTAAAATAAATAGTTATTTTATAACTGACCAATTAAACCATCTACAACAGTAAAATTAAACAATTAATGATACTAAATGTAGATCAGTCTGCTGATTTTTGCGTTGTGAAGTCAAATAATAAATTTGTCCCCAGCAAGATTGCATTCAGGATGAATGGCTTATCTGAAAGAAATAAAATAGAAATAAAACCCAAGTTAAAGTTAAGCTGAATAGTTTAGGATTAGAGTTGCAAACTATTTTGTCCACTACAGGTGTGTATTGTTTTTAATTAACTTTAATATTCATATGCTTTTAAATTACTGTAGCCTGATGTTTGCTATATGATATCAACTAAATGGAATTAAGACTTGAACTTTCAATGCAAGCCACACCTAGAGAACATTACTATTACTATTACTATTACTACTACTATTACTATTATTATTACTATTACACACACACACACACACACACACACAAATATGTTTGTGTGTGTGTGTGTTTTCTTTTCTTTTCATAGGTCTTTATGTTGAAATTTGGAAAGGCTTGTAATTTCCAATACAAATTCAGTTTGGCTTATTGGCTTACTTTGCTATTGCTAAGTACCTCTTAGAAACTTCAGAAATGATGGATAACAATGGCAGTAATCTCAGACAAGACAGATAGAATTCCTGTCTGAGCAACTGCATTGTAGTTTGTGTGTGTTGTGTACTTTGATGCTCTCCAAGATGTAATGTTTTCTGCTTTTTAAACCTTCTTGCTTATTTTTCTTCTAGGAAAGAACAAGAAGTCGATTCAAAAGATGCCATCATCCTACATCAATTCTCAAGGCCAAATAATGGCATTCCCAGTTTATCTCCTTTCTGCTTGAAAATGGAGACTTACTTGAGGATGGCTGATTTGCCTTACCAGGTAATCTGGTGCATCATGAAATTTGGACCAGAATTATTTAGCTTCCATAAATAGATGTAATTAAATGTTCTTTTTGGTCCTAAAGATATAATCAGAAGCGGCAGCATCTGCAGTGTGTGGCATCAAAACTAGCAAAGATTGAAAACAAAGGATTATGATGGAAGCTCCACCCCCTTTTTGAATGTCCATGTGAGAGTTACAAATGGACAAAAAGAAAAATTCCATCACAACTCTTTGTTTGCTATCTTTGACCTCCTCACCCAATAGGTGCTGTATAGAAAATTACATTATTTGTATCTTTAAATTATATAAATGAAATACAATTAAGCATAAAGTATCATATGAACATATCTATGTGTTATGTACACTTTTTTGTGTTCCTGTATTATTATTGCAGGATCCAATCTAGGTCAAGTCACTGGGACTAGAGGTTTTGTCATCCGAGCTTTTGGACTTGTGCTGGAGGCCATCTTTAGGGAACTTCTCTCTAGTCCTAACTCTAGAGAGAAGTATGTACGTACATACATACCCTAACTCTAGAGAGAAGTTCCCTGAGGATGGGCTCCAGGACACATCTGAAACAGAGGTGATATTCAGCAGGTTCTGACCAGTTCTGGAGAACCAGTAGTGGAAATTTTGAGTAGTTTGGACAATTGGTAGTAAAAATTCTGACTGGCCCCGCCCCCATCTATTCTCTGCCTCCCAAGTCCCAGCTGATCAGGAGGAAATGGGGATTTTGCAGTAACCTTTCCCTGGATTGAAGTGGAAATGAGATTTTACGGTATCCTTCCCCTGCCATGCCCACCAAGTCACGCCCACCAAGCCACACCCACAGAACCAGTATTAAAAAGTTTTGAAACCCACCATTGATCTGAAAGCTTGAAGACAAAACCTCTGGTCCCAGTGACCAACACAGATTGGATCCTGCAACATTATCCTGGGACACGTATATTCGTCTTTATTCGTGTATTATTATTACTACTTGTCGTAATAGTAGTAGCAGTAGTAATAATAGAGACAGTAATACTATTTCCAATCCTCTAGTAAGATCTTATTTCTTAAAAAGTTCTTGATGGTGTATTCTTTCTGTCTTCATAGCAACCACATGAGAAGTATATTTTTTAAAAAATATTTTTAGAAATGTTTTCATAATACAAAAACCCAAATAAGAACACATGTCAGAACTGAAGAAGCTCCTTTGATGAAAAGTGAAATGTCTTCAAGGAAAAACAGAGAAAGTCCATTTGCCCCTTGAAAAAGCACCTTTGATAAGAACACATGGGTTGCCAGTTTAAGAGTGGTTCTGTGAGGGAAACAGCTCCTAAATACAATTGGGAGATAAAGTAATGAATAGATAGATATTTAAATAATAATAAAAAAGAAGTGTTAATGCACTGATACCTAGCAGGGTTTTTAAAAGCCTAGGGAATGAAAAGGGATTGCTTGTTTTGCACTTGCATTATAACATTTGAAAAAGATATTTATCCTGCTTTTTTTTTTCATATACAACTCAAGGTGATGAACTTACCAATACTCCTTCCTTCTCCTATTTTCCCCACAACAACACTTTTTGTTAAGGATTGTCATCTCAAGATGTTAAAAAGACTAGCAGAGTCCAAATACTGTATCTTTCCTTTGCCTTAAGACTTATTGAACTAGTCAGAGAGATGTTTTGCCTTTCTTTCCTGTCCTATCTCCCAGATGTGATTTGAAATAGATGGCTTTGCTATAGATTGCTTCCCTATGCTTCATGATAGAAAAGTACCTCAATCTTTAGGGTAGTATGTATCTTATGTTTGGGCTATGAAAATCCAGATGACTACTAGGTGACATAAGATAATCAACATTTTCTGTAATATTTTTTGGGATTTTGGGAGAGAGAGAAAGGGAGGAAGGGGGAGAGGGGAGAGGGAGGGAGGGAGGGAGGGAGAGAGAGAGAGAGAGAGAGAGAGAGGGAGAGAGAGAGAGAGAGAGAGAGAGAGAGAGAGAGAGAGAGAGAGAGAGAGAGAGAGAGAGATTTGGAATCCTTTTTTTTGACATTTGTGCCAGAGAAAACCTGATTTAATATGCAAGCAGGTTTGAGATGCCATTAGGTGATCATGCCAACTTTACGGAGGAGTGAAATTAAATTCATTGCAAGAGTTGAACCTGATTTAGCTTCCATGTGATTGCTTTATTTTTGTTTTGTTGTTTTGCTTCACAGAACTACTTTGATGGAAAGCTTTCTCCCCAAGGAAAAATGCCATGGATCGAATACAATCGCAAAAAGGTATCCGGCACAGAGTTCATTATTGATTTTTTGGAAGAGAAGCTTGGAGTGAATTTAAACAAACACCTTGGCCCACATGAGAGAGCTGTTTCTAGAGCAGTAACAAAAATGGTGGAGGAGCACTTCTACTGGTAAGTTGACATAGGAATAGGAGTGCTCTTGAAAGAATTAAAGGATGTAGCTGCATTTAATAGCCCTGTGAGACATTTACAATGGATAACATACTTTTTGTGAGGAACACAGGACTCCACGCAGTGTGTGCAGTGGCCCTGCTGCAAATGTGTTTCTCCCTTTAGCTACCTGTGTGGCAAGACCTTAAGGGAGATTTTGCTCAAAGTACTTGAATACACTTAGACTTAATGCACATTTGGGCGTTCTCTGTTGTAAGAGTCTCTAACCCTATGGAAAGTTTTACCTACTTTTAGAAGAAAACATCCGTCTCTCCAATTTAACCCATTGTTAACTCAGCAAGGTGGTGCCTGGGCCTGTTGACACACATTAGTAAACTTTTTGTAACGTCCACTCTGTGCCCTCACAGTGGGCAGGGACATAATAAAAAGTGGGATAAATGAGGAATAAAACCAAAATGAAGAAATTGAAATAATTGCTCACCCCTATTTTGAAGGAGAAATGAGTGCAAATGTGCACAAACACACACACACACACACCTACCACTTTTTAAGATTTTGCAGTGATTCTCCAAACATTGTGCCATTTCCTAAATTTATATCCATTTAGTTTATTTAATGGGCTAGAAAGGGATACAATAGTTATAAAACACAGAGGTGTCAAACTCAAGGCCCGGGGGCCGAATCCGGCCCTCAGGGTGCTTAGATCTAGCCCACAGGGCCATCCTGGAAACAGCAAACGACCAGCTTGCGGTACCTCTGCCAGCAAAAATGGAGCTCGGGAGGGCCGTCCATGTTTTCACTGGCAGAGGTTTGCAGGAGGCCATTGCAGCCGAAAATGGAGCTCAGGAACCTGTTTTCACTGGCAGAGCGTTTGGGCCACCAGAGGCGCCCCCTGACACAAGTGATGTCAAGCTGGTCATGCCCACCCTGGCCATGCCCAGCCCTGTCAAACACAGCTCTGATGCTTCCTTCAATGAAATTGAGTTTGACACCCCGTTATAAAACAATTAGGTGAAAGAATAATAAAAGTGACTGAAAATATATAGCCCAGTTTCCTCTCATTAATTTGCACCCAGATTATTCTTTTTTTAAAAAAATTAATTCTCATTGAGCCAACATAATGTTTTCTTCTTCCTGATATGGAGGATTGATGATAATTAAATAAGCAACGCACCACAGAGGGGTTTTGTGTTCCTAAAAATACCTTGTCTTATGTGGAGTTAATTTCCCTTCCCACCAAAGTGTTTCCCAAAATAGGCTAATGCATCAATTAGTTGATGGGGTAGAAGGAGGAGATGAATACATAAAACACTCCGCTGAAGGGAGGTTGGCTTCCAGAATATACAGTCCAGGGTTTGAGACCGTGGATGCACATTTGTCTTTAACAAAACTAGCAGATGCAAGTTGAAGAACACAATTCTACTTGTACCTTTTGAAATACGCCCGCAGGCAAACGCAGAGTCTTTCTCTTGGTTTATTTGAAAGGATGGCTTTTTGGCAAAAGCATTTGGAGCAGTCTTAGAATCATTTTCTAGGATCCTGGGGGCTCTCATACTGCATTCACATAAAGAGAATAAGGGGGAAAAAAGATAAACTAGTCAAATAGTGTATAGGGAAGAAAACGAGAAGGAACCAAAATACCCGCTTACAATTGGTTCCTGGTAACTTTAAGGAAAACACATCAGCGCAGGTCAAAGGTAAAATACTTTTACATCTTCGGTACCTTTCTTAAGCCTTCCTGCTCAGCAGCAGAAGCTCAGGCCACCGGAGCAAAAGATAAACCACTCCCTTGTTATCCGCTTTGTACGCGCCTCTATTGATGTGTGTTTTTTTTTCTTCCATTTGAATGAGATGCTTCTCTTCGTAAATAATTAAGATGCAGATCCACAAAATCTGCAGCAAAGCATCTGCTCTTTCTCCTGGTGTTTTTCTCTCTTCTCTCCAAGCTCTCAGCAGCTCTAATTTGTATGGCTCAGTGGGCTCTGTCCTGGATGAACCCCCCTCCCATCCCTAACCCTAACCTTTCACGAAATAACTGAACTTGGGTCATTTTGCAGCTATTCCCGAATGATTTCCGCCAGCACTAACGAAACTATTGAGCTCTCAATATCAATCTTTTCAAAAGAATTCCCAAAATCGCCTGATAGGTGTATTTGGTGTTAGCAGGCAGTCCTTGACTTATAGCAATTAATTTAGTGGTCATTTAAAGTTACAATGGCACTGAAAAAGGTAACTTGTGATTGTTTTTCACACTTATGACCGTTGCAGCATCCCCATGGTCATATGATCAGAACTGGGATGCTTGGTAACTGGTTCATATCTGTGACCGTTGTAGTGTCCTAGGGCCATATGATCAACTTTTGTGACCCTCTGACCAGCGAAGTCAATGGGGAAGCCATATTGATTTAACATCTATGTGACTAACTTAACACCTGCAGGGGGTCACTTAACAAGCGTGGCAAGAAAGGTCAAAAAATGGAGCAAAACTCACTTAACAAATCTCTCGTTTAGCAACAGAAATGTTGGGCTCAATTGTTGTCATAAATTGAGGACTACCAGTATTTAGGTTACGCAAAGCATATGTTGTGAGAAAGGCCTATCATCAGCCATAATGGTCACCTGATATTCTGCATTCCCTTGTCCTCACTCCCAGCCAAATTCTCTAATATCAGCTGAGGTGATTTAACTTGACTCAAAAGCTGTGAGCAATGGGAGAGGTAGTAGATAAGCTCTGTCAGGATGTGACCTGATCTGATCCCACTTAGAAAATAATCTGGGCTTTATAAATATTTCATCCCGCATATTGCTGGGAAACTACTGAGCCTGTTTTCATGGCAGTCTTTCCTTCTCCTTTTGAAGCTAGGGTTTATTCTGCTTTCCAAATAGTCATGTGACATATTCAGGAGAGGGCTGTGTGTGGTTACTGCTGGGAAGGAGAATTAACAATCCCACGCAATGTAATTTTCACACTCGAATATTTGTGCCATCTGTTGTTATCAATCTGCATTGACAATTCCTTTGCTTCACAACTTTTTCCTCGTCATTCATTTGCAGTTGCTGACATTGGAAGAGCAAAAAGGGATCAACTCACTTTTACAATAGAGGTTGTACTTTCATCAGTTTTCCATAGCTAGAATATTTGTTTTACATCAAGCAGCTTCATCCTGCTCTTCCACCAAAAATCACCTAGAAGGCTCACCAACAATAATAAACACAAGATATTAGATGTGTACAAGCCAGCAATTTAAACAATATGATTTTTCAAAATAAAAAAAAAGGGATTGAAAGGAAATGTTGTGATCTAGGTTTCCTGAGTCATTAAAACACATGAGTAGTCCCAAAAACGTCTTTTATTGCAACAGCTGTGAATTACGTTCATTCACAGCTGAGTCCCAATTAGTTGCAAAAAGTCCTTCGGGAGAAGTCCTTTGGGATAATCACCAACCTTTATCTCCCTTGATACGCTGCCAAAGACCTACTTGGCAAAGCTACATGGAGTCCAGAATCAAACAGAGATGCCGATTGGGAACAGAATTAACAACGTTTTCCTGCAAAGGGCCCATGTGTCTTTGTTCCTCTTTTAAGCCTTATGGGAGGGGCCAATCATCTCCAGGCCTTACTCCCAAGTCGTCCCTTTTGATTTAACTGTTCTTGCCTTCTGGCAGCTCTGCGCATGCGCGCACTAGGAACAGGCTCCTCCTGTTCCTCTGCCTCGCTGATGTCCGACTCTGGAGGCTCCGGAGTCTGCGCATCACTCCCAGATAGCCCTGGCCCCATCTCTGCCTCAGATGCAGAGCCCTCGTCCGAGCCTTCCCCAGACTCCAGGACTGGCCCATGTTCCTCCCCAGCCTCCTCACTGTCTGACTCTGCTGCCAGCTCCGCAGGCTGCTGGCGGACCACAACAGGGAAGAGAAAAGGAATATCTGAAACAGGAGCATCAATCCTTAAAGTTGAAAGAGAACATGAGGTGGCGAGTAGCACTAGATGGCTCCAGAAAGTGACCCAGGGCAAAAATTCCAAAATGGGCATATAAAATCCTTTCACGAGAATTACAACCATGAATTCTCCAATGTGCATTCTTCCAGTTGTTTTGGATTCCACCTCTGCAAATGTTTACCTTTTTTAGCTGTGGTTTATAGAGAAGTCAAAGTATCAATAGGACATTAGTTTGGCAGAAGCTGCAGTAGACAGTTGAACCATTTCCAACCTCTCCATGAAAATCCTTTAGACAAACTTCAGTCTTTTAAGAAAATGTTGCAAATTTTATTAAAGCGAATAATTTAATTAATCATTTAATCACCCAGTTCTCCCCCTGCCTTTTTGAAAGTGCAATCAACAGTAAGACGTTGTAGTCTGTTCTTTCCTAACCTGGTATTTTCCATAAGAGCTTGATTGCTAAAGTTTGTTTCTGGACACAAAGATAGGTTGGTGTTGCCTGATAGCCAGTTGGTGCTTCTTCTTTGAAGTACTTTTTCCATCTAGCACAATAAAGGTCAATGGTGGGGAAGCTGCTCCCTTCTCATATTCTGTATTTTTTTTTACTGCAGTTATAGCACTGCTGGAAATCAATGTTGTGGTTGTCTTCAATGTTTAGGACCTTAGCCTATTGCCAATGGGTGGACAATCTCCATGAGACCCAGAAGATGCTTTCTCTTGGTGGGCCCTTTAGTGACCTACTGAAGTGGATTCTCAGCCACATAACCAAAGGAATTGTGAAGCGGGAAATGTACGGACATGGCATTGGCCGCTTCTCTGAGGAAGACATATACAAGCTGATGGAGAAAGATATGCGCTCGTTGGCCGGTCTTCTGGGTAATGAATAGTACATTTCATTAAGTTCTCTAGGCACAATCTTTCTTCCTTTGCAATTTCTGGTATTTGGTTAAACTTCAGATTATTACTTTTAGCGAGTCATGTGACTGTCATAAACATTCTGAATTTACATGGGCCTGCATGTCTAATGACCCATTCAGTTAAATTGATATGAAGTACAGAGAGTCCTTGACTTATTGTTGCCACAAAAAAAGGTTGTAGAATCCAATAGGACACATGACTGACCCATTTTACAACTGTTAAGACATAAGACCATAATGGGCAGGTTCCATTAAGGGTCTACGTTGAGGACTATGTATGTTATAGTACAACTTTTCCTGTTCCACTGTGAACAGTCCTAACTAAAGCTTCTATTAAGTCAATATTTCTCTGTTATACTAGCTTGGTTAAACATTTTGAAGTTAATGGGCCACAAACTGCAGATTGTAACATGCTATTTGTCAACTTGGTACTGGAATAATTACTTACGATTTATTTGATAATTAGTTCAGTTTGACTTACCTACCCAAATAGTTTGGAAGTATTATTCTTTGTGCAGTTCCTTATGTAGCTTATAGTACTGCAATTCATTGGAATGGAATGAATTGAAATGTACAAATTCATTGAAACTTGAAACTTCTAACTTAAAATGAAGAGTTGGCCCAAGTCAGAAGCTGTCAAATTTCTTTCCAGAAACCTCTTAATTTCTTGAAAGGATGTGAAGGCTCTTGGCTTATCATTATGGCATATGTTCACCAATACTCTAATGCATAGTTTCAGCATTAGGGTTTAATATGAGACTTTATAAGAAGCATTCATTTTATTTAATAGTACAATGTCTGGAAAGATTTGCATCTGTCATTTGTACTTCTACAACTGTCTGGTTTGGTACAGCAACCAATGGAAAATTAGTCCTGCAGAAAAAAACAATTGCAACCAGCCTGCCTTCCGCAGAAGACCTGTATATTGCACAGGTCAGAAGGAGGGCTAAAAAAATATTTGCAGACTCCTCACATCCTGGACATAAACTGTTTCAGTTCCTCCCCTTGAGACAGTGCTATGGAGCATTGCATGCCAAAACAAAACACGGGGCAATTTTTTCCCTTGTGCCATCACTCTGCTGAACACCTAATTCATACAGTGCTATTTAATGTCTATGTATATTTACTCATGTAGTACAGTTATAGTATTATTATTTATCCTTATTATCTTCTTTACTACCCTCTCATATTGGTATTATTATGATGATCATTATCATTATTCGGTTGCTTTGCATGTACACTGAGAGCTTCTGCAGCAGAGATAAATTTGTTGTGTGTCTAATCATTCTTGGCTAAATAAAGTATCCAATCCAATCCAATCCAATCCAATCCAATCCAATCCAATCCAATCCAATCCAATCCAATCCAATCTAGTGTTGCCTGTTAAATCTGAATCACATCTGTGCAAAGTAACTTTCTGATGAAAGAGACAGCAAATTAGAGGTTACTGGAGGCCTGAATCAGAATTCTTAAGTTTCAGATTGTTTTCCTGAAAGTATAATGAGTTATTATAAAACTCCCCTGTCATTAAAAATAAAAGCCCCTTTGAGCCACCTAAATGTTCCATGCCTATTGAAGCCCTACTGGAGAAGTTTCATGGCTGAGTTGAGTCACACGAGTTGTTCCTTGAAGATACATTTCTCCATTTCTATAAGCAGCATCGCTGAATTCAATTCCATTCCAACAATGGCCAAGGGATTG